TGAGACATGCTTGAATCCCGCATTTCTACTTTGCTCAATCATATTCTCACGTGTTATTGGTTCTTGTTTTTAAACTCTGTCTTTGAGATAGCCCCACAAAAAGAAATCTGGCCAACCAAGATCTGGTAATCTGGCAGGCCAATTTACCGGAGCAGTTAGCATCCAGTGACCATTAAAATCATGATCAAGTACTTCACGTGCTACGATCGAATAGTGTACTGAACAACCATCATGTTGAAACCACATGTTCTGTTGCACTTCTAAGCTCAAGTTTTCAAGTAATGTTGGCAGTCCATTTTTTAAAATGTCTCGGCACATTTCACTATTCAAGTTGTCTTCAATAATGTGGCGACTCAGAATGGTATGTATAGTTTCTCAGTACGAGAAATCGAAAAAAATTGAGTTTCGTTTATTACAGCGTCATCTGTCAAGAATATAAAAAAAATTTCGACAAACCTACGTACTTTTAGCCGTAGAATCCGAATCTGTAGTGAAACGTCGGGGTTCCTGTTGAAGATTTCAAAGTTACCCCCTTCTCCACCTACAAGGAAGGGGGGACCACTTTTTTGCACCAAAGTATTTCCCCCATGGAATAATTAAATTTTGAACGAAAAAAACCATATTTTAAGCGAAGGAAGTATTGTAATCGAGTCCGTCGGCCGACTCTCTGCTTTTAGAGAATTTAATTACAGAAAACACGACCTTTCATGACCCCTAGAGTACGAAGAAATAGATCTCCTGTTTGCGTCTGTCTGTCTTCCGCCCCGATTTTTATTAGACAGATGATCTTCGTAAGTAGGTACAGTTGCGGCCACAAAATGTTGGGTAGTTCTGTCATTTCAGTGATATAAACTCTAAAATAGGCTTTGCGTACTTAAAACCTTAAATTTGCCATGTTTGTCATTTTGACGTAGACTGGAATGTGGATGATGACGTATGTCAAAATTTGTTTTTTAAAAGTGACAATTATTATGACAATAAAAGGTAAGTTCGGTTTCCACACTCTTAACGCTCATTTGCCTCCTAATGCACCTTTTCCGTTCGGTTTGATGTACAGATGGAGCGCACCCCAATAGCGTTCGGTTACACAAGTGTAGGGTGAAAAGTGTTAACTCCGCCAGCCCTACCTCAAAATTAGAAGTGCTTGAAATTGTAAAGCTACGCATGCGCATTGAAATTGTCACTACTGTAATTTTAGTTTTTATTTTGATTATTTTAAAATTAAAAGTAGTTAGATAGTTATTGTATTTGTAGTGAACTGTGAATAATCCATAATGGAAAATATGACAATTGACATTTAATAGATATTTACGATATGTGTATCGTAATGTGGAATTTTACGATACGCGATGGAAAAATTGTCCAACGAGCCGAAGGCGAGTTGGATAATCCATCAAGTATCGTAAAGAAACATTACGATACAAATATTGTACAACGTTTTATCTACTTTCAATAATTTTTATAATAATTAACACAGATATTTTTGTGTAATTTTTTAAATTGTGTTTATGGAGAAAAAATAAGGCGGCTAAATTAGTAACCCTAGTTACTGATTTGTTTACGTTTTTCACAAGCGTTCAGTGAAAGCAATTTATGTGCAAAAATTAGTGATTCAGAGGATAATGTGCCTTCTGATATTGAAGTGGCTGCTCAATCTGCTATCTGCTATCGATACGTTAGCTCCTGGTAAATCTAAAGAACGTTACGAGATAGGGTACAAATATTTTGATGAATGGATAGAAGTTAAGAAAATTGGTGACGTTTCTGAACAAGGTGATGCATTCCTATTTTGCTGAACAAGCAGAGAAGTTAAAACCATTCTCCTTATGGTGACGATATTCCATGTTGCGAACTTTGGTGTTGATTACGAAGAATATTGATATTACTGAATATCATCAGGTTGTGGCTTTCTTCTCGGAAATCAGAAGGTTACCGACCCAGAAAATCGTTTATTTTTTCCAAAGAAGAGATAAATCAATTTCTTAAGAAAATGAATGATAAGGATTTCTTATTTATGAAGGCAAATTGCAGCTCATATTAATAAAAAACAATCTCAAATTTATATAGTTTCAGGTTATTTTGATAGTCGGAGTGTTTGGTGCTTGTCGACACGAGGAGATCACAAATTTGACGACACGAGACGTTAGAGCCGAAAAAGAATTTATCAAGATCACCTTACTGAATTCAAAAACTAAAATTATGTGGAATTTGCTATAACGAGAGGAAATTTTCAGGGAATAATTAACATGTTGCTTGGTTATAGAGGCTGGAAGTCGGATAGCATGGCAGAAGGATATGTTGAACTCTCTGTCGAAAATAAGAAAATAATTGCTAAGAAAATAATGGGTTTTTCAGTTACTGTGGGTTCAACAAATTAGGTCACGGTAGAGAAGCCCAGCTTCAACATAGGAACAGCGTCTGGAGTTAACTTTATAAATGTTTCAAACTGTGTAATTTATGTTAATAAATGGTTTTGCAACTTTCTTTTCTAAAAGTCACTCTTTACCGCACTGTGCGGTAATTGTTCCTTTACCGCACTTAGTGCGGTAAAAACTACCATTACAATATCAAAGAAAAACCTGTAATCTGGCACATTACTTAATGAAAGTAGATAAAAATAGTTTCACAAACTCAAGTGCGTTCGTTTACCGTAGTTTCATTCGTTTCACTCCAATATCACGTGACTTCACTCCTGCACCTTTCCACTCCGTGTCGGAGTGAGCAGCCGAACTTACCTAAAGCATAGACTACATCGTGTTTTTTTTTAATGACAGAAAAATACTGCCCAAGATTTTCTGGCTGAAACTGTACTGGGCCGATTGTAGTCAAACTTTATATTTATATTAGGAATACAATGTAGAAGGTAAAATGCTAACCAAAATTTGCCTAATCATTCCCATGATGACGTCACTTCAAAATTGTAAATAGGAAATGGGTTTTAAATTGTATAAAACGACATACTCCTACACATCTAGTAGTCTTAGGGCCGGTTGCATAAACGCAAATCAAATTTAATCTCTGATTAAGAACAATTGTAACTATGAAAATAACAATCGTTACTATGGAGTTAATCAGAGATTAAATTTGATTTGCGTTTATGCAACCGGCCCTAAGAGCCAGTGGCCGGCTACCTGTATGTAATTGACCAGACCTCGAATTTTGTACAGAGAGTCTCCTCGATCCAACATACAAGGACTGAGGACTCACTAAGCCCAGCGCGGCTGGCGTAGCTCAGGTATGCCAGGTATCAAAAAATGACTAATTTTAAATGCATTTGACCATGTCTGCCATTTGGAAATTTTAAAATATATATTTATTTTTATTAAAAAATAACCATGGCAGACCATTATCACGCGTCTAACATCGTGGCAGACAATTTTGAAAGTGCAAAAAATATAAAATTTTCAAACTAATTTTGACCAAGTCTGCCATTAATATATTTTGTTGATTGTAGTCTTAAAATATTATATTTATCACGGCAGACGTTTTTATGGAGTACATATACACTTCAGAAATCTTAACTACTACCCGAGCAGATATATAAAAATGACGCATTATATCTTACATTTATTTCATCTGCTTGAAATTAAATTTATTGTTGCTTTTAAAAATTGATATTTGATTGTATAATATCATTAACAGTTCGATAAGAATGACAGTTTCGAAAGTTCAAATGTATCAGTTGATTACCGACAAATGATACCAGTTCATCAGTACACCAATGTATAATAAAGAAATCAATGACAGCTTGTTTAAATTTCGTATTTTTTATCTCCTTTGTAAAATCTGATGGTCGTACCTGGTCAGGCCCAGAAAATGTGAAATCAATTAACGATGCGTCATGTCGTAGACTTCTTTCATTGTCTTTTATAGATGGATGCAAATATTGGTCGAAAATTACGTCGATTCTTCGTGCTGGATATTTTGTTATCATCTGCAAAAATTTTTTGGAAATATTTTCTAATGTTTTTGGTACTTCTTTCATAAAACGAAGAATGAAAAACCCATCAATTAAAAATACATCTGTATTGTGAGGTGGTTCCTGATCAATATTTGGTTCCAGACATTTAGCAAGTACAGATTTGACAGTTTTACAAATACTCCCATTTAAATGACATAAAGCTAGAGGTACAGGAGTTATCGGATACGATATGTGAATTCCTACAGAAATATCAATTTTTAAAAACAACAATAAATTTAATTTCAAGCAGATGAAATAAATGTAAGATATAATGCGTCATTTTTATATATCTGCTCGGCTAGTAGTTAAGATTTTGTTATCTGCTGAAGTGTATTATAGGTACTCAATCAAAACGTCTGCCGTGATAAATATAATATTTTAAGACTACAATCAACAAAATATATTAATGGCAGACTTGGTCATAATAATTTGAAAATTTTATATTTTTTTGCACTTTCAAAATTGTCTGCCACGATGTTAGACGCGTGATAATGGTCTGCCATGGTTATTTTTTAATAAAAATAAACATATATTTTAAAATTTCCAAATGGCAGACATGGTCAAATGCATTTAAAATTTGTTATTTTTTGATGCCTGGCGTACCTGAGCTCCAGCTACGCCAGCCGCGCTGGGCTTAGTGAGACCTCAGTCCTTGTATGTTGGATCGAGGAGACTCTCTGTACAAAATTCGAGGTCTGGTCAGTTACATACAGGTAGCCGGCCACTGGCTCTTAAACTATAGAGTCCGTTCTCTTTTAGAACGACACAGTGAGTCATCCAGATCTGACAACTATATAGTGTACCTATATAATATATAAATAATATATTAATATATTATATACACTAGAAACAGTATGTTTTCGGCCAGTGACGTAACATATAGTTTTGGAAAAGGTTCTTGTCAGAGTTGAATTTGTTTATAAAAAATATTTTTGAAGTGTTTTCTAAAGCAAGGTCATAGTTGAAATTAAGCATACAAATTATATTTTTTGTTAATTCTAATAATTAAATAGAACGTTAATTTCAATAAACATCAAGATGTGGATACATGTATTTTATTTAATGTGAGCAAAATTCATCAGCGTGAATATTGTGTCGATTCGGAAAAATATCGCTTCTATTTCACCTTCGTGTAAATCACTCTTTGGACTGCTACGTTTTCTACATTTTTTGGGACTAGAAAATTAAGATACTTTTCCTGTTTCTACATCGAGAGCCTCTTTGTGAATTCTCTTGTAGGTACTTCGGCCAATTTTAGTAGCTGCCAGAACTATCGCCCTGAATTTTTTTAATGGGATTTTTTGGCCATTCCCCGCCTCATCTTTCATGAAACACAAAACATTTGCGATAATTTCGCGCTCTTGGGAGTGAATTACCTTCCCTTTAACACCAATTTTCTTGTTTGAGGGCATGTTGCAATCCAAAAGGTTAGGAACGCTTACTAAAAAGTCACAACGGTGTTCATTTTATTTTCCAGTTTCCCAAATACTTACTAATAAAAGGCCAAACCAACTCAATAGTTCTCAAAAGAACTGATTTTAAGGAGATAATATAATCTATATAATATAACTCAGAAAACACCGAACACATCAAACGACCGACAACAACAAACAAGTGAAGCGAAGTGGTAATCACCTGACGCGTAGACACTGACACACGACGTACCCCTAGATTTGAATATGGACTCAACTCCTGCGCGACGAAAATGCGTTTGATCGCGCAGCTTTACAAGGGGTTCTTCTAAGGGTGATTCCACTCTAGTTTATGACTCCGTGTTGAGTGACCCGAAACATCCACATTTTTGGAAAAAAAGCAAAATTATGAAACTCGACTCAACTCTAAAATGTTGGATATGTTTCATAAATACTTCATTAAAATTCTGATTTGTTTTTTCACTTCACTGAATCTGTACAATTTGATATATACAAAACGCACTTGACATACACCTTGTAAAAGTTTTATGACTTGAGCGGCTTAAGCCAAAGCACCTTTATAAGTCAAACTGGCTCTTGTATAACTTAACTCAGTTTACATATACCTAGTAAAACTTTACAGCTCCATTATGGCAACAATGGACAGTAATAATCCTTGCGCTTCGGGTCCATTACAAGGGTGGTTTGGCTTACGTAAGTCGTAAAAGTTTTAGAAGGTGTATGTCAAGTGAGTTTTGTATACATGTCCTTGCAAAAATATTAATGACGTCATCACAAGATTTTGTAATGGAAAAACTCATTTGAAATAAACGCTTTATTTTAACTTATAAGTAGAGAGCGGAAAATATGCAGCAAAATTTTGGGAAATATGATCGTATGATATGCATCAAATTTATGCAAATATGCAGTAACTTTCTTAATATATGCAGAGATATGCAGTTGCATAAAATATACTTCAAAAATAAAAAAAAAAATCGTAATAACGGAATTAAATTTATTTACAAATTACAAAAACAGGTTTCCCGAGCATACGTTTTGTTACAAAAAATACATAAATTACAGTGCAAAGTGTTTAATTAATTCTCAGTAACACATAAATCACATTTTTAAAGATAATATTGTTATACTAAAAAATAAATATAAACAGAACAAATTGAAAAAATAGTAGTAATTGAGTATTTAATTGCTATTTTGGTAACAGTTTATTTTTAAATATTTTTCGAAATATTCTAACAAAAAAGTTTTTCCGGTGATTCTAAAATATGCTTTTGTAAGTAGAAAAAGTGCGTACTACGTCCACAGATGTACAAAAATCCTTACCGGTTTAGAGCAGGCGCGACAAAACAGAGTTCCTTCTTGAAGAATACGTTCAGGGAAAGGTTTAATCCATAAATTAATTAGAGTTATCGTCGACATATTGACACACCTGTATCGCTTTAAATGCTTTCAGTGCAAACTCACGATGAAAAATAAGTAGGGTAACGTCCCTTCGACCACCGTAAAACATACCATTAATACGTTTAAGTAACGAACAAAAATATTGGGAATGAACGGTATTTCCAAAAATAATTAGAGCCCGAATTTACCTAGAAGAATGGCTTAACACCCGGTGGTTTCTCCAAACTACCATAAAACCCAAACCTTTACTGGTTATTTGAGCTCAGGACAACAGTTGCAGTATGATTAATGAAATTTCGTTTTTCTAGATAAATGCCGATAGAATGACTTTTTTTTTCAAATTAGCACAAAAATTGATAAAAATGCAAAATAAGCAGCAGAAGGCAAATATATGCAAATATGCTATTTTTTTATAGCTGTGTTCTTTTTTAATTAGCATGATTCGTTCAGATATTAAATATTAAGACTTATATGCAAAAAATAACGGATATGCAAATTTCATAAAATCCGCTCTCTACTTTATAAGGGTTATCATAAATAAATAAAATTCGCAAAGTCAAATCTTATAATTTGTCGAACAATCTGGTTTTATTGTACTGAACTTCAGGGGCAAAAGAATAACATTCGACCAATTTTTTTTTTTTCTTTGAATTGGTGCAACTGCTTTTATTCCCAGGGCCATTTTTTAGTTCATACCGGTATTTTAAACAACGCCTCTTTAAATTTGTTTAGAAACAAAGAATTATTATTGTTACCAAAACAAACACCTGCAACTTTTTTTTCTTATTACTGTTATTATTATATGTTGCATTTGACATACACCAAAAACGTTTTAAACAAAATCTTTTGTAAAAAAGCGATTGCTTGGGTGGACGAAGAGCAATATATACTGCTCCACCAAATTAACGCACCACTAGAAAAAATTTAAAAAACTATTACAACCTCTGTAAAATAAATTTCAAAGTACATGTTTTAGAAAGAAAGTATAATAACGTTAAATAACTTGTTTGTTGTTGTTTTATAACTTCAAAAGTTACAAGAAATTAGGAAGACAATGCCAATTATTCGTAGAACGTTAACTACATATATCAATGCTTGAGCAGTGCGCACAATAAACTCAGATGAACTGCTACAGAAAAAATATTTTTGACTATTTAACATCGACGATTTCGTACTTGAAGGAGCAATATAGTGAAAAAATATTTTTTCCAAACATAACTTCATTTGACAATATCAAACATAACCTTCTGTGACATAATGCTTGACATGGTTACTAAATCGACCCTTATTGATTGCGTACAGGGGGGAGGAAACAGAGAAGTCACAGCTACACTGCTACTAAAAAAATATAAATGTGTGACCTTGAAAAGCTTAATGCAACGGGAACCAAGTTTACGTAAAACGAACAATGCCTCCACTCACTTATCTTAACAAAGTTCATATAATATTTCTTGTCCAGAACGGTAGGTCTTACAACCAAGTGTCAGAAAGATTGAATATCCCAAAAAGTACAGTATGTTATACTGTTCAAAAATTTATTAGAGAAGGTATGTTGGAACGGTGCCCATGTTCAGGAGGACGCCGAATATCCACACCTGATGACGACGCGCGATTAATTAATATTATTCAACAGAATCCTTTCACTACTGCTTTTGAAGTGGTAGCTGTTGGCAGTTTTTCTAGGTCCTCACAAAAATATTATTACAAAAGTAACTATTATCACACGAGTCAAACAGAAAAGTTTGTTTGAAATTAATACAGGCGTCCTAGGATTGTCATAAAACAACAGCAACTGGAACACACAAATCTGGTGATATTTTTCTTTTAATTTTGACAATGTGACGCTTGTATGAACTCGAGAATTCTTAATAGTAACGTAGTTTATCGATATACGAGATATGTTTTTAAATTGTATGAATGTGTTGGTTACAGCGGCTGCAGTCCTGCAAGAAGTTCCCGAGGCCGTACGAATAGTATCTCAGGACGATTCCAGCAGTCCATCGCTGGATGTTTCCAAACAGCAAGTATCACCCACTTCAAGTAGAACATCCGAGAATCAACAAAATCAAACCACTTTTAGAAAAGCGCCGACGTTGTCAAAGAGCCGATCTGCTAGTGCCGTGTACGATGGGGCTCTAACTTCAGCTGAAGCCCAACAGGTTCGCACCCAGCCATTACCACTAAACGATTTCGATGATGAGACCATGGAGTTCCTCAACAAAGAAGATCCAAACAGTACGCTAATTGATTTTATCAAAAGTCGTAAGAAACAGTACAATGTAGTGTCGTCTTCGGGTACAGATGAGGGCACCTCACAAAAACAACAAATTCTTGAGGAGTTGCATGTAAGTTAAGTTAGTGAGTTGCCCTGATGGAGTTGACAGCGTTCACTTTTTAGCGGGTTGAACGTGAACTTCATGGGAAGCAATCTTCTCATAGCCACGTTTTTCAATATGCAATTCCTCAAGATCAGTGTCCTGCTGCTACTAATAATTCACTGCCTCATATGTTAAATATTGACATTGCTATGCAACAACAGCAGCAAGGTACGTATTTTTATGCATGTCTTGAGCGGAGAATTTACACGAGTTATCTCATCAACTTTCATTTGTGTATAATATGTAACCTTCCTGCTTTGTTGTAAGCTTCGTAATTTATAAAAGTTATAACATTTTGGCGTATGAAGGCATGAGGCATAAATATTACGTTTTGTGTGACAGTTGTCCACAGTTTTCATAGAATTTTCAAATTGTCTTATTTATTATTGTTTTTAGATGTATGTACTTAGATGCCGCTTATCATGCCTTCAGATACATACTTTAAATACACTACATAAAAGGACGTGAATGGGATCAATGTTAACAGCTTTTGTGTTAATGCATGCTAACATCTCCCTGTTATAATAAATCATTTTAAAACAACGATAATAATAATAGCAGACGAATTTGTATGCTGCAATTCTAGGATCTCAACAGTTTTTTATTAATCTAATCAGTGCATACCATTACTTGGTTTAGTGCCCGTAATAATAGAACTTTTGCCTAGATGCCGATTATTTCCGGGTCGGTGGTGGATCCTAATAATAATAATAATATTACTTCTTTAATTTATGAAGTTTCAGCAATTAGAAATAAAAATTGCAGTTTATTTGAATAATTGTAGAAATATATAAATACTCCATTTGAATAAGAAAACACAACTAATTTTCTTTGATAAACGTAAGAAGCAATTTAGAGGTCTTGAGTGCACTGACATTAGTAAAAAAAAGTCTTGCAAAAATTAATTGCTTATCTTTTGAAGTCTTATACTTGAGAAGTATTTAACACAAGCTAAAAAAGAAACCTATGAATTGACCATATTCATTTTATAAAAAGTGTGCAGTAAGATAATTTGTTATAATTTCAATAATAAAGCGCTTGAATCACGTAGAAATGAGGTTAAAGGATAACAAAGCCGCTTGCTTGCTATATGAACATCGCATAAAATAATTGTACTGAAATATTGCATACAGATTTTTTTAAGGTAATCCTCATTATTGTAGTAGTATTCAACTCCGTAAAGGGATAATTAAAGGTAACGCCACGTTTTGTACAATTATAATTACTACTGAGTATTGTGTAGATTATAGATATGTTTCAGAAGCTTTCAAATAGAGTTGTGGAAAGGTTCGAAAGGTAAAACAATAAATATATTAATCAAAGAACTGAACTCCATGGCAATATTTTTTATAATTTGAAAACAATTGCGAATAAATTTGTTCTAATATTTCAAGTAATTGGAGTTTATAGAATGACGAAAAAAATCAAGTAATGATAAGTATATAACTTCAGTTTGAAAAACATTAACGAATATAACGTTAAAAACATTTAAAAATTGTCTTAAACAAGGAAAATTTTTCAGTGTATATACTATAATGCTAGGTGGAGTTAAATTTTAATGTTAAAACCTTACCTAAGATAGGATTACAGAATAAATTTCACACAGTTCGATAATAGTGTCAAAGTTTTGTAAGAAGCCTCTATATATTTTATACAACAATAAATTTCAAATTTAAAATAGTTTGAATTCTATTTTAAAATTAGCACTTAATGACCATGTCAAAATAAATATTAGTTCTATGGTATAGCTTTAATGTGTAGCAGTTACTTTTATACAATTTTGTGATGTGCCCCTACCTGTTTCCCATACCTAAACATGCTTTATTAAACTAATTTGGGAAAATATATAATGCATGCTCGAAAAACTTATTGCTTAATCTATAACCAATATTCATCACATAGTTTTTTACGTGGTGTCAGTTTGTGCTTTTTGTCAGCTAGATGCGCCAAATTATTTTTTATACAAATCCAAAGCGCCATCTTACCACTACTTTAACCACGCATGCGTCCGCCTAATTTTCCTATTGGGTGCATGAGAATCCATGTGGCTATGGTTCTGATAGCGCATATTTATCAGGGCTGGGGACTGGCATGACAGGTTCCATGTTTCCTGCCAACAATCTACAAGTCCACAATACTTTCTACACAGGAGGAGCAACATGCTTGCAATCCCCTCTCAAGTTGGCCGTCAGCGGAGATACGGGAACATTCACCCAGAATCAAACACAACCGGCATTTTATTTTACGCCTCTTACGACATCCGTTGCTTTACCCACTGCCAGCACCACTACGACTCAACCGATCAAGTTTCAGAGCGTGCCGTCACATGCAGAAGTCAGCCAAGTAAGTGTTGAAAATTAGGTAATCTAAAATTCTGACCTTTTTACACCGTGTAATTATCACCAAATGTCGTTTGGTATTTCGATGCTAGATGCTCATTATTTCGATTTTAGTTGATTGCACCTTATGTTGGGTTGTTTGAAAAGTCCGTAGCGATTTTTGTTAAAAAATAGGATTTTCAATCAATAAATAGGTATAACTACCATTTTTGTTAATGACGTCCTTCTGTCTTTGAGGCAACTTAAAAAGTTAAGCAGGTTTCTGAGAAAAAAAAAAACGGTAACGGTAAAAAAGCGTAAGACTATGCCTGTATTTCTAGTGAGTTTTTCCGTTTGAGAATGTTCCCATCAATATTTCAGCAAGGAAACGTATGTCAATTCCAAGACGTGGAGTGTAGTACTAACAATAAAACAGTGTGTACCGTTCTTGATTTGATCAATAAAAAATAAATCCAAGGTTATTTAGACAGAACTTCCCTTACTCCTGAAGTACAGTACAACCACAGTATACATATTTACTACGTATACAGTAGCGACAAGAGCTCCGAATCCCTTTGTTCTCGGCGTGCCAATTTCTATGACCTTCAAAGTCATTAAGTAGGGTTTCATTGGTTCTAATGGTGGGAGTACAGCCCCGCGAAATGTAAATAAGCATTGAGAAAACTTTGGTCTTTAAAAAGGTGTTTGTATAAAAACTACTATTTCTGAAGTAACTTAGCTCTGTAAATAATGAAACCAAATAGGCAAAAAGATTATTAACATAAAATTATTATTCTTAAAATCAAATTTAAAAAAAAAAAATTAAAGTAATAATAAAATTAAGAATGTCTGGTCTTGGTAATCACCAACAACAGACCTTTTAATAGTTTTATTTTATTCATATAAAATACATATGGTAATAAATTAACAATAATTTATTAACTACTTATTACTGACAACAATAATACTCCTTATTGTCTGGTTTGAACCTAAAATACTCCACAATTTTTTTTAATTGAATTAATTAGCACGCACGTAAACACGAAACGTTACTAGCACAGAACACTTATTACTTACCTACTAGTCGCCAAGTTGTTGCAAAGTGCTGGTAATACAAGTAGAGTGCATGCGTGAGCATTCAAACTACAATTTTTGGAACTCTTGTCATTTCTGTATACGTAGTAAATATATATACTACGGTACAACATATCCAGCTCCTTCGAAAAATGATAAGATTTGATTTTTTTTTTTTTTTGATAACCCTCCCAGCCCGGCTTTCGCACAGGTAATATTAAGTATCAATGTCCGCATCATTTGTCTGGCGTAATAAAGTTGTGTATGTATATTATTTAGCTTATTTCAATATTCCCCGAAAAATACTACAAACAATGTTTATTCAAGCCAATGTACTGAAATAGTCAATTAACTACTAAAATTAACTCAAACAAAAGTACGTAATTAATAAAACGTATTTACGAAACACATTTTTAACAGATCTATCTAATAACAATGCATGACACAACACTGTGAAACAAAACAAATATGCAGCGTACGATATTCTAACGGTTTACGCAGCCCATGCCACTCAAGCTTTTAGATGGCGTGCTTTTTTCCGACTTACTCAACAATATTATTATAGTTCGGCCAATTTACAGAAAACCTTCATAAATTATACACCTAAACCTTCCTCCTGAATCAGAATCACTCTATCTATTGGTGAAAACCGCATGAAAATCCGTACAGTAGTTTTTGAGATTATCGCGTTCATACAGACAGACAAGAGACTTTGTTTTATATTACGGTATAGTGATAAAGGTAAAAAAAGATATGTAATGTTAAAATGTTGTACAATTTTGATTTTTTTTTTTTTCTAAATTTCCGAATACCTACGATACGACAAAAAATCAGGAAGGATTCATAACTACAAGTGTAGGAGTATGTTATTGTAGCAAATTTAAATAACATTTATTCGACGAAGTTGTATTATGTCATTGGGCGGGAATAAACGGATAAGATTTCAAAGCATTCGATTTTGCGTTTTAAAAGTGAAATTGTAAAATATTGTTACATCATTTTGATTTTTTCTAAAAATCTGGATGTCTAGGGTATAAACTTAACACGGATTCATAAATCACAAGCACAGGAGTGTAGTTTTATAAAATTTGACTAAAATCGGCGTGGGTAAAACTCAACAATTTATTTCTTAGTAACTCAAATCTATACGGCTAATTGCACAGCGATTATGTACAAAATAATTTCAACTGGAATGGATTTGATTGGACTTTATTTCTCTCATTGTCTCGAAGGCACGGTGTATAATAAGTTAGGTGTTACGACGAAGCGTATTCACCGTACATCGAGTTGACGCCGGTTTAGTCACGATGAGCGGTCGAGAGAGACAGACAGCGGCGGCCTGTAACCTCTCACTCAGATCTGTTTAGCAGCGTTTGGCAGGCTTTTTCCCTCTGTAGGTGTGACAGATTTTGCTAGGTTTTCTCTGCGATTTTTTACTTGTTTTTTGATTTATCAATAAAAATGGGTAGAAACAGTGTTTACTGGAATGGCTCTTTTATTGCAGTAATGAGCTGCTTTTGAACAACACTTTGCACTAAAAAATACTGGTCGTCGCTATAGTAATAGTAGGCATTTTATGTTGAATTTTATTTTTACTTAAAACAATTACTCCCTTTTTATCGGTTATGTGTTATGTTTATTTTCAGAGGGTTTTTGAATGCGATATGTATTTTTTCTTTATTCCACATAAACTATATTTTTTGCAGAGATTTCTCGGCACAATTCGACAAACAGGTTGTGCCAATGGACATCCCTCATTTATAACTTTTTTGCAGCTATACCGAATGTTATCGGTTTATAAATTATTAAAACCTCCGAAACTTGGCAATTGCACACAGATGCAGGAAAACAGTAATGCAATCATTCGTTATCATTTAATGACTTCAAAAATATTTTTGAAACAAATACCAGAATGCGGAAAAAATCATGTTGAGAAAATAAAAAGGAAAATTGAATATATCTTAGATACAGATTCACCGATTAACGAATTAGGCGAACAACTATTTGAAGATGTCACTATAACTAAAATTGTTGACAACATCATTTATTACTTAGCTGGATTTGTGGCAAAAAAATTGTACAATACTTCAAAATGTAATATTTGCCGTGAACAGTTATATAACAAAGAAGATCCATGTTCTAGTATAATATACATCTGAATTTACTAGTACAAAATCCAGGGGGTGGTTAAACCATCCAGATTTGTTAATGTTTAATATGTTCCGATAGGTGGAAGGGATATTTATGAAATATATCAATTTTGTGGATGTATTCGATGCAACAATTGAAGAGCTATTCGCAACAAAAATTTTTATGACTATTTACTTTCCTTTTTATTGTGAAGAGCATAGAATGGAAATATTTTCAAAGGCAATATATTTTTACACAATTATGCTAATTAAACAATTTTATAAACACGAACAAGAGAAAACAACCAAGGCATGTGCAGAAAAAAGAAAAGAGTCTCGACTGTAGACTACGGAATAATGGTAAATTTTTATTTCTCAAACAGTAAAGCAGATAATGGTTAATGGATATTTTTTAGTTGCCTTGTGAAACGAACAGAAGTGAGTGAAACTAATATAATATGTGAAGGCGAAAAGAACTATCTTTAACAACGAGTTTACATTCATCTTTTTAAATAAATTATTAGGTATTTTAACAATGTTTAAAGTTTTTATTTTAATACAACGGATAATTAATTTTGATGATTTTTTGACCTAAATGGCTTTAATTCCGACAAATACTTCTCCCGTCTCTTTCCCGTCATTGCGATTAAATGATGGCCGCCCTCTTCTGTTTCTCTCACTCCAAATCTGTGACTAGTTGGGGACACGTTTCACGCGCTCGTCGGAACACCTAACTTATTATACACCGTGCTCGAAGGTCTCCGTCACCGCTTCTAGGCTTGTTCTGGAACACCCATCGCGACATCCGCTTCCAGGTTCTTCTTTAGCGAACGCCGTCCGTCACCCAGCATCGTCGCTTATACTAGAAAACCCATAGGCGTCTTCCCGGGGCGGTGTATGGGTTTATTTCGTAACACAGCCCCCTCCTTAATTCTGATCGTTTCGATCGGAAACGTCAACGGTGTCACTGCTGCACTTCATGAGGCGGTCTAAATGGTCAATCTTCATTTTCGTCTGCGGCCGTCGTCGAATTCTGTAAACGACATCGCTGATTCTCGTCACGATACTATATGGACCTTCCCAGTCTGGTGACAACTTCAGGCAACGACCTTTCCTCCTTCGGGGGTTATAAAGCCACACCAAATGCCCCCTACCTAGAATCCTATTGAGTTGTCCCTAAGGTCGTAACGTGTTTTCATTCTACCAGTCGCCACTCTATTCTGCTCGTGCAGCATTCGTAAACGCTCGGCAACTTCTCCTGTAAGCAATCGTCGTAGCCTTTGACCTCCTTCGTGACCTTGTTCCGTTCTTCAGTCACTGGGAGGGAACTCGCTATATCTCCTGCAATTCTTCCAAAAGGCGAACCGACGTTCTGTGGTTGCATTAGCCTTCTCGCCTTAATCTTAGGCCGTTTGACCGCCGCACAGGTCGTACACTTCTTGCATCAATCTCGACAACAGACCCAATAAAATCTTTCCCTAACTTTAGAGAGTGTCTTGTTTATTCCAGAATGAGCACCAGAACCTCCGTTGTACATTGCTTGAAGTAATTCCTTTGTTCTACTGGCCGGAACCACCAACTGCATAGTGACATGCCTTCCATCCGAACTTTCCCAGGCTTTCTTAAGCAATCCGTTCTCGACGTGCAAGGAGTCCCATTGAGCCCATAACGCCTTCAAAGAATGTGACTCGTCTGATATTTCGGACCAGCTAGGTCATCTATCCCATCTTCTTTCCATCTGAGGAGCGGCCCAATATCCTTGTCTTCGCCTGGTCCTTTCTACACCGAGCTGTAGTCTGCATCATCTTCTACGGGTGCTTTCTTCCTGCGGTTGAACCGTGCTTTCGGCTGCTTAACATCCTCGCAGTGTTTGCAGTTCTGGCAAGCGCTCAATCTTGTAGGCTTCGCTTCAATACAACGCTGATTCAGCTTCAACTCTTCATTTCCAAGACGTAGGACTTCCTTCACTGCCACGAGAGCCCGATGTCTTATTCTTAGCTGACCAATACAGATTTCTACCGATGCTTCGCCCATGATTGGCGTCGACTCTCCAGTTACAGTTTTCAATCTGATCGTTTCGGGTATAGGTTCTACATCTTCAGCTCTCACGAGTCCTTTACCTACAATTGATACCTCAGCGCCAGTATCGATGGTGATTACTGCTGGATTTTCATAAATCTTTCGTGGTATAGTTGAACCACTACCTCTGGTGAAACTTCTTATTTTCACTTCCCTGGCGACTGTATGCTCACCAGCGAACCCATTCCCCAGAGTACCGGCTCCTTTTAGATATCGGTGAGGTCTCTGTTTTGTGCTTTTTCTTGGAACTGGTAATCGAGCACGACAATCACGTTTAAGGTGTCCCTGGCGCCCACACCTAGAGCAATCCACGCTTTGCTTACGAAACATAATTCTCCCGTCATCGAAAGATGTCATCTATTTGCTGTAACAATTTTTCTAGCAGCTCCTCTATCTTGTTGTTTTCGTCTTTCTCTGTTTCTGCTACGCTGATTTTGTAACACGTTTTTGAAGAACTGTACGCCGCCTCCACTTCCAGCACACGACTCAAGGCATCAGATGATGCCTTGAACAACGTCCAGATTTTAATGGAATGTGAAGAGCGAGTATGTCGTTGATCATAGAATAAAATAAGTCACACATTATATTAACATCGTTGGTGACAAACAATTCGTTCCAATTTATTTCACACAGATGCTGGTAAAGATTGATGTAATCACATTTCTTCGTCTTGTTGGGAAACTGTCATTTGCGCATGTAAGGGTATGTAATCTATGGCTACGGGTTTCATCGTTACATTCTTTTGATCTATATACGTAAACAATTGAAGTTATGCATGTTCAGATTATATACTTTTTACTTCCCGAGTGCAAGCTAAGAATGTATTGTAATAGAGCCCACCCGACGACTGGCTACTTGACGTTTCATAATCTGTGTACAGATTACGCTTTTACTTCCCGAGTGCAAACTAAGAATGTATTGTAATAGAGTCCACCCGGCGACTGGCGACTTAACCTCTGTCAATTTTTATTAGACAGAAAATCTCCGAAACTACCGAACCGAATGTTTCAAATTTTATATGTATTGGTACATTGAACAGGTGAAATGGGCATGAGTAAAACTCAACAATTATGTACAAAAATTATTCCGGCGAATTTCACTGAACGCTCTTGACTTCACTAGCTGAATCATCCGTTTCCCAAAGGTGGACTCTATTTAAACAATACGCGATCCTTCTCGAAACCTTACGTTACCGCTTCTAGACTTATCCGGAATCCCCATTCGCGACTTCCGTTTCCAGGCGTTTCTTTAGCGCTCCGTCGCTCAGTCGCATTGAAGATGAATCATCACCGGCGTAAGACCAGAGAGTTCTCAACGGCCATAGGCGTCGCACCGAGGGTGTATTTCGTAATATTAGGAATGTCATGTAGTTGTAGATGGTAAAACGTTAACAAAAATTTACCTAATCCGTATTAACAAAGTAAAGACATCCCCTCAACATTTTTCGTAATAGGTAGGATTTTAATTTTATAAAATTGTAACACCCCTGTACTCGTTCATGAATCCTCCTTAACATTTTCCCCGATGTATCCAAATTTTCAAAAAAAAAAAAAACAAATTGTATTTTGCAATCAAAGTGATCATTGTGACCGTTTGTTTCGTTTCACGATGATTTTGGCGGGTGATTGTGATTACACTTTCGACAAGTAACAGTGTGTGAACATGAACAGTTCTTTCTCACCGTGATTATAGGCGGTGATTGCAAATATTGCTATCAACCTTGCGACAGTTTCGATAAGATATACGAGTAACGATGAAACGGTATACCACAAAAACACTTCTTAGTTATTAGCTGAAAATATGCTGTTGCATCGATGAATGAAAGTAATCATAGCTGATAAATGATGCACTGAGAGTACATTTTTTCTCGTTGGTTATCTGCTTTAAATATATTTCATGTTGTCCACACTTGTGCGGATCGCGCCTTCTTCGAATTTGCGACATAGGAGCTGCGAGGGTGTAATTTACTCCACTAGTTTTTAGTTTATTGACGTTATCACAAAACAAAATTCGCAACATCAGATTTTATAATTTTTCAAAGGTTGAGGGGCAAGGAAAGTTCTGCCGAAACACTCTTCGACCAATTTTTGTGTGACATTTTTGACACAAACATGGTGCTTTAAGATATAACCTACTAGAAAACTGTCAGAACAACCGAATAAAAAGTATATTAAACAACATTTCTGTTACACACAAATGACCAACTTAAAAATCGTAAAGCTCATAAGTTTTGCCTTCATTATTTTTTTATTTCCTGAGCGTAAGCTTAGGAAATATATATTAAGCCTGATTTATAGCTATTCCACATACGCAAATGGGCCCGGATGACGCAACGGAAGAAAGTTCAACATCAGGTTTTGCTAACATGCATTTATAACAACTCCGCATCCAGAAGCGGGTCCGTAACCGACGCAAGTTTCTTGCGGTGCTTACGTTCGACCAATACAGGTGGCTATTGTACCGAAAAGATCCGAATAAATGCTACGAAAATCGAATCAAATTGCAATATATAGCTGATTATGATATGTACAGCAAGCGACGTTACCAAGTGACAGAGCAGAAACTGCAAATAATACTTATTTGCTTGCTGCGTATGGGGAATAGCTATAAATCCAGGTTTATAGTCTAGTTCGTTGGGCGACTGGCCGCTTACATATTTTCTTAATGGGTCATCACCCCTAGAGTACAAAAAAATGAGTCTCCCGTTTTCGTCTGTCTGCCCATCCGCCCGCCCGCCGGCTCCGTCTGTGTCAATTTTTGTTAGACAGATAATCTCCAAACTACTGATTTTTGTCAGATTTTATGTGTATTACGAATATCATGTAGATGGTAAAACACTAACCAAACTTTGTCTAATCATTTTATCGTTATCATGGTAAATCGTGAATAAAATGTATTCATTTATGGCTTCCCGAAAAATTCACGTCATCTTAAAATTTTATCGAATTGCATTCATATTTTTTTTATCAAATCAAGAACGGCTCACTCCATGTTACGGAAAATTTGCGAATACAATACTAAGTTGATATATACGTGTCCTAGCAAAAATGTTGATGACGTGATCACTAAATTTTGTAAAATAAAAACTCATTTGAAACATACGCGTAGCACGCTTCTTTACATTTATTTGAACATTACGTATTTACATATGTTTATTTAAACTTATAGCAGTTCTCATAAAAAAATAAAATTTGCAAAATCAAATTTTATATTTTTTCAAAAATGCTGGATATGTTTCATTGTACTTCAGGGGTGGGGGAAGTTCTGTCGAAACAACTCGACCAGTTTTTTTTATATATAAAAATTGTATATTTCGTAATTTCAAATGAGTCGGTTTTGTTTACAGAATACAGCTATAAGTGATAGGCCCAAGGCGAAGCCTGTCTCAAAGAAAGAAGGGAAAAATGTTCGTAAGCAACAGCTACAACAACAATACCAGTCAAATTTGTATGGTCAGCAATCGACGCAGGTGTTCAGTCCTATTCAATTACAACAACAGCCTCAGCAGTCAGCGGAAAAGACGCTCAACATCTCAGAAACCATCAACGTACAAGGTTTAGATCTTGATTCTTTAGATCAGGAATCTTTGGTGTTGAAGGAAGAAAGCCATGAGAATCTTTTAACGGCGTCCATTTTTCAACAGTTTCAAAATACATCAATTAGGGCCACTTTTGTGGGATCACCTGTAAGTAGTAGTCGCTTATTTACTAATATGCTTGTAGGTGAGCTGTTCAATCTAATTTACGTAATAATAATAATAATAATAATTGTTGAGGTCATGGTTTTACCATATTTGTGCACAGCGTCGTCAAGTTATAATATTATAAGTAATATTACACTTTCAATTTTTCTATATCACAATGTTTTGTAGCAGCAGAAAACTCGATTAGATCTCTATGACCATGTACAAGATGGTAAAGTCACAAAATTAGAAATAACCGACAAGGATTTTTCTACAGTAGATGATGTTGTTCAAACTCTTGAATCTTTTAACACATCTGATATCAATGACCAAAGTGTTAATCAACATAACCTTCAGGTACTTCGTCCTGTTTTTTCAATAAAGCATGTCTTAAGTCATTTTATTCTCCAACAGGTACAACCCTATCCGAGTGGTATTGACGAGACCATGCTAGCGTCTTTTGCTGGTCAACAGGAACTGCAAAACCAGACAGATCTATCCCGTGTTGAATATTTTGCAGTGCCTGCAAATGGCGCCCAAGTACCCGTGCATACGCTTTATCCATACGAACACTATCTGACCACAGCAGGTATGCCAAACAAAGAACAAAGTGGTGCTATCTACCAAGCAGGATTTCAAGCTGGAATTAATTTAATGCAGCAACAATTAGGTGATTAATTATTGCTTTTTTTTGTTACTAACTTCAAGTCAAATGGATTTGCCAGCAAATGGACGATTTTTCCTGGCTCATTCACTCGGCGAAACATTGTAACTAACATAAATTTGCATAAACTTTTAAGTTCATTTCATAGTAAATTAATTAAAAGATCAAGAATAAGAAGAATTTTCGTATGTCAGTAACAGATGAATGATTAATCTAGAGCATTTGCAATTTCAAAAAGTTAGCTCCACAGACACTAACATTACATTATACTCTTTAGTTTGTATTATTTATTCTACATATTTTAGAATCATGATCTTGTTTATAACCACCAAAATGCGAGCCGTTGACCTTTATGGCACAAATCAGTCAAAAATTGCTGAGCAACGATTGATTATTCATTTACATAATTAATTATTCAAACAAGCTTCGATATTCAACAGTTTTATTAAAGTTGGGAAAATAATATTTCATCAAATCATTCTAAAATTTCTTTCGAATTAACGTTTTCCGCTTCTTCATTTTGCATTTTGAAAATCGAATTCATAGAATATCGAATTATTTAACAAATAAACAACGTGGTATCCATAACATCAAAATAATAGCCAGCTATGTATTAAAGTTCGCATAGGCACAATTCACAGAATCTTGCCGGAAATACTCAATATTTCGTTAAAAATATTTTAGAAACTAAAATACATAGAATAAAACGTATTACCACGAGCATAATTGTCGGTTCTGGCCCTCGAGAAATTAGAAGCGCTCCTTCGTCGGGGTTTAAACATTCCCTCTTGTAATAATCTCCCTAAGTATGTCCTTAATACATAAATGACTATTAAAGTAAGCCTGTAATGTCAAATTTATAAAAAAAAGTTGCGTACTACGAATCCTCATTACAGAAAAGTACATATTTCTAACGAAATGTTTGTTTATTTTTGAGTTTTTCTCCAGATGAAAGTAATTTAACAGGTTTTTTAATTCCACCAAAAAAATTAAATTCCTCTTAGTTTTGGAATAGAGTTACATAATATTATCTAATTTAAAAAGCACATAGAGTGTACGGTCTTACTGCAGATAGTATTTTCGTATTGTGCTTCACGTGGGTCAGTTTGTGATGTTGATTTTTGTTACCGTACAACCGCTTAATTTCGATGCTGCACCTCTAGCGATATTAAACGTATAGAGGGGATGATTTTAAAGCCGCGCTGTATATTTATCAGATATTTTTGCAACTTTTCTAGGTTGTGTTTATGAGGAAAATTACGGTGAATCTTTAACAAAAACATCAGTCTTTACAGGAGATAATTTATTTTCTGTTAACATACTTTAAGTAGTAACAACAAAAGTGGTAGATGTTTCTTAAATTCTACAGCTCAAACATTTGAAGTTTGTGTAAAGAAAACCATTCTACCGGTGAAGATAAATTTATTAACAAGACTAACCTAATGTGGGAAATGATGTGGCGGATTAAAACTTCTCAAATCTGGCAGAAAAAAAAAACCATAAACAAAAACACTACATTTTTTGTTTTTGATTAGCCCCGTATTGCCAAATCCTCACTATATCAACATAAAAAAGTGTGATTTTTTTTATATGTATAAAGACATACGCCTTTTTCCATATTTTGAGCCAGATCTTCCTAGATAAAATAACAAGTGGCTGAAAAAAGAGGGAAATAAATAACAGAGTTTATCTTGATGCATAAGGTGTCACGTGGTTCATCTGTTACTTGTATGTTCGATGTTATTATTTCTTTAAACGCGCATTAATCTGCCAAAATGTAGTAAAAACAGTTTTAAAAATTGCTGGGATCACTAACTGCAGTTTATGCAGATTTACTCATAGAGTGGAGATTTTGAAAATTAACCCACTTACAGCATGCCCGAGTGCGAGTACAAGCGAAACAATAACAACCGCAACAGTGGTTCCAACGACCGTAGGATCTATACCCGGTACGTCCGCACAGCCCTACATAACACCACAACAAGTGGCTTGCGCACCGCAAGTACAAACACCTTGCAGCCACGTAGTAAGTGCTGCCCCCATACAAGCCGCCCATCATTGTCAGTCGTCATGCACTCAACACCAGCAACTAGCCCAAACACACCAACAACAAGTCAGCCATCAGGTACAAGCCGCCACTCAAACGCCGCAGACGACCAGCGAGACGAAAAAATCGGGTAAAGCGGTTGAAGGAATGAAAGTTAAAAAGGGACGAGTCGTGCGACACCAAAACCAAAACATTCAAGGCAACAATTTCCAACAAAATCAAAACTACCAAGTTGGACCCAATAACGCAGGTATTTTTTTTTTTTTTTGGGTTACGACGAGTATAGTTGCTTTACTAATTTGAGTTTTAACACTAGAAAGTAAAGTGGAAATTTTACGTCGCATGAGCATGTCAGATTTTCACAAATAAATGTAACTATTTTCTATAAAATTTGATTGTTTGCGTTATTCATCCTATAACTTTTTTTTAATATTAATTGGTGATCTGACGTAAATTTTGGTTGTTTTTACATGAATTAAAGATGTTACTTATATCAGTTTCGTATCTATTTTGTATTAACAAAAAATGTCATACATATTTTCTGTGAACTAAAATCAAAATTTGATATTAGTATTTTTCAAGATATAAGACCAAATACTATTAAGCTAGATTTTTTGCTGTATTGCAAGAAAAGATTCTAATTACAATTGCGAAAATAAAAAAATACTTGCATCTCACACATTACTGCACGTCAATTTGTATTTTTTTCATTAAAAATAAGATAGATGTTTATAGTATGCGTACGGTAATACTTACAATTTCATCGATTTTTTGAATTATTGAACCTTTGTTTAAAAAAGTCCTCGTTTGTTGCATCCAAAGTATCATGAACAATAAATGGATCAATGATTTTATTAGTGCAGTACGCGTTACGCAATTCCTCACAGAGCCAATTCCGAAACATCACAGGGGACATAAACACAAATATAACTCATTTCCGTTCTCCAAAAGATTTCCAAAATTACAAAATTTAATCAAAAAATGCCTGGAGTTCTCCAATATCCGTTATTTTAGGACCTAAATGTTTATGTCGTATACTATAGTTTTGTAAATTATTATAGCAAACATGTTGATGTAAAAGGTACTTAATATAGGCTGTGCCATCTTTTGGGTCACTGTGAAAATGACCATTGGTTTTTCATAGATAACAAACGACCAAGAAAAAACCTTCGAGTTACTTGTTGGTGTCTTGTCACCAAATATGTTAAAAAATACTCGTACTTTGTAATAATGTGAAAATATTGATTTAAAATTAATTTATTTTATTAATGTGTTTATTTAATTAATAATGATGAAATTGCCCACCATCGATTTCTAAACATTTCCTGGTCCGCTTTTTAATGCACAAGAACGGGACACGGAAATTCAAACGACAAATGTTAAATTGATAATAAATTGCGAGTAGTTTTCTAGAGCCTGTGTCATTGTCAGCATAAGATACCATTTTTACCTACTTTGTAGTCTAAAATAGCTTTTCCCTTGTTACCACTGTTACAAAAAATCAAAAACGTCGATCTGACTTGTTCATGTGTCTTATAATGAATATTTTTTGAAACCATCCATTTTAGCTATTACCCAATATAATGGAGTGAACCAACAATGTCAGAATCCATTACCATGTCTCGACGTAGACTCTAAAACCGACAGCAACCACGATACAGCGTTGACTTTGGCTTGTGCTGGAGGTCACGAAGATCTGGTGGATCTCCTCATAAATCGTGGTGCTGACATAGAGCATCGAGATAAGAAAGGCTTTACACCTCTGATACTAGCAGCAACAGCCGGTCATGAAAAAGTTGTGGAAGTTCTTCTCAACCACAACGCCGACATTGAAGCGCAGTCTGAAAGAACAAAAGATACGCCACTTAGTCTAGCGTGTTCTGGTGGACGATATGAGGTAATTATGTCTATATTACTATTACTATTACTATTACTATTACTATTTGGAATTATGGAATTGACTGATTTTTTTATTTTTAAGGTTGTTGAATTACTGTTGAACAGAAATGCTAACAAAGAACATAGGAACGTGTCAGATTATACCCCTCTTAGTTTAGCCGCTTCTGGTGGCTATGTCAACATTATAAAATTATTGTTAAGTCATGGAGCTGAGATTAATTCCCGTACTGGAAGTAAATTAGGTATATCCCCTCTTATGTTAGCTGCAATGAACGGTCATACCGCCGCTGTAAAACTATTACTTGACATGGGAAGCGATATTAATGCTCAAATTGAAACCAATCGCAATACAGCTTTAACGTTAGCGTGTTTTCAAGGGCGTCACGAAGTTGTCAGTTTGTTATTGGATCGTAAAGCGAATGTTGAACACCGAGCCAAGGTAAGGAGACTTACTTATTTCAGTTCAAGAGTACTTGCCATATATTGCATTAAGGGTATAAGCTCTTTATTGAAGGTGCATAAAGTTTTACTTGATTACAAATCCAACAGTATTGGAGATTCTTTAACATTTAAAAACTCAACAAATGGCTTGTTGGATGTTAATTAGTCAGAGATTTTGTCAGTTTCTTTTTGGATATTGACAAACGACTTTAGGGATAATTTAGTATTTTATTTATAAAATTTTCATTTTTGTCGTAATGCTTTTAACTTGTTAATATGATCATTATTGTAAAAAAATTCAAAGGTTAAAAAATTGTTGCCAATTCGTCTTGGACTTCTGGTTGTGTACGAAGTTATGAATGAAAAACCACAACTTGCGAAATAAACAAGATATCTCTAGATTGTTATCAATCATAATTTTTCGTGTGTAGATCTTAAAGACCTTTTATATTTTAAGATCTTATTACTAAATTGAAAAGTATAAATTATTGTGATCCTACTTTAAAAGTGAGCTTTACTCAAAGTGATAGAACAGCCTTAAGCTTGTTTCGTTAATTACGTTTAAAATGAAGTACTAACACTTCTGCATATTTATCAAAGACTGGGCTCACACCGCTCATGGAAGCCGCAAGCGGGGGTTATGTAGAAGTTGGTAGGGTTCTTCTGGATAAAGGAGCCGACGTGAACGCAACGCCCGTCCCATCGTCACGTGACACCGCTCTCACCATCGCCGCCGACAAAGGCCACGTGCGTTTCGTCGAACTCCTACTATGCAGAGGTGCCCAGATCGAAGTGAAGAATAAAAAGGGAAACTCGCCACTGTGGTTGGCAGCAAACGGCGGTCATCTAGCCGTGGTCGAATTACTTTATAACGTCAACGCGGATATCGATTCGCAAGATAACAGAAAAGTGTCTTGCTTGATGGCTGCGTTCAGAAAGGGCCACGTTAAAGTAGTAAAGTGGATGGTTCATCACGTGACTCAGTTTCCCAGTGACCAGGAAATGATACGGTATATATCGACTGTCAATGATAAGGAGTTGCTAGAGAAGTGTCAGGAGTGCGTAAAGATTATCCGAGCTGCAAAAGAAACTCAGGCTGCCAAAGCGAATAAGAATGCTACGATTCTTTTGGAAGAGTTAGATATGGAGAAGAATCGAGAAGAGACGAAAAGGCTAGCCGCTGCTCGCCGGCGAGAGCGAAAAAAGAAGAAGAAATTAGAGAAGAAGGAAGAGAGGAGAAAGTTACTCGAAGAGAACAAGAAGAACGAGAACTATGACGAGAAAGATAAGAAAATTGTGGAAGATGAAAAGGGAGAGGAAGAAGGTGAGTAAGCGTGGCTTGTGTCTGTGTAGTTATGTGTGTGTTAAAATTTAGTGTATATAGTCGTTGTTTTTTAAACCGTGCTTTACGCATATAAATTTGTTGACGTCACGTGCAGGATAAACTATAGTCGTCACAGTCTTCAGAATCCGTCATCGTATATATGTAGGATTTTCGTTCTACATGATTCTGGCTCGGGCAATTCATGATTTTTCAATATGTAAAAATACAAATAATTCAATCCAAACTTACCCACATTCATTGAGTGCTAACTATTTTTTGTAGATCTTTTCTTGTATTTATGTTTATTTTTTACACTGTACATACTTCAGTGACAGGCACCACCGATTTTTTCGTCTGTAGAGGGCGCTAGAGTCGACATATCAAGCTAATCGAGTGTAGATAAGAAGACGAGAACTCTAAGCCTTCTCTATAAGGTAAGTGCTAAGTCTATAATCTTTTTTTGTTAATGAGGTAGCTCATTCAAAGCTGAAACTTTTTTAAGTTATATCAATTGGAGGTCATTACATCCAGATGTAGAACCATCTGCAGTAGGTTGGTAAATTAATTTTGCAATAGACAATTTCTTATTCTACATATATCCAGTATTCATAATTATAACTACAAAAAATAATTTAGTTTCGGAGTGTGTTGTTATCCTGTGCGTGACGTCAAATACTAAGAATTTTGGTACTAGGTATGTAGTTCTACAATTACAGTCACTTTAAATTATATAAATTACAAATACACAATGCTATAATAACAAATTAAGAATAATTTTCGTTGCGGAATATACTGTATTTATATATATATATTTTTTTTAACTAGCAAAAACTATGTAACTTTTAAGTTTACTGTACTATTGTGTATGTACTACAAAAATATGAATGCAGAAAAGAAGTAGTAATATTTTTTGTTAGTTTAAAAGCTAACGTAATGTTTAAATAAATTTGAGATCGCAGGTGTCAGTGTATCAAAATTCACAGAGACAATTATGACTTTAATACAATCGAGTCTATAAAGTCAAGAATTTTCAAATTTAGTAAGCATACAGGGTTATTCACGAAAAGCCCTCCCTCCAAAAAAAATAATCTAAACGTAACCAATAATATAATTACATAGCAGTCTTCGATATTTACTACCACTATTTTTTTAGTAAAACATTATTATTAGTTGTTTGGTTTTGATAACTTGGATACAAACGTCAATTGTTAGGTTAAAATAAAAAAACAAGAGCTCGCCAGGCCATCTCCTGTACGGATAATATTCTCCCCACAACTGTAAACACTCACCATATATCAAAATCAATCATATCAGTCTTTTCGTCGCTCGAATACACTCTGTCCTGTGGAAATGTCAGTTTTAACATGATATTAGACAACATTTAGACAATTAACGGAACCACGTTCCGTAGAACGTACAGCACGCAAAACGTAGAAAAAACTATTATGTCTATAGAAACAGAAAATTCAGTGTGCCTATTGGGGATTGTATACGTTAACGTAACATACGTTGTACGGAAGGTAAATTCGCTAATTGTCTAATATCTGGCACTATGTCAATATTGTTACGCAAAAACAAATAATAATCAATGTTACACAAAAACAAATAACTTATGTTTTACTTAAAAAAAAATAGTATGAAATATCAAAGATGGTTTTGAAATTGTATTTCTTCATCTTGAATTTTTTTAGGCGTGGAGCTTCTCCTGAATAACCCTGTATTTAAGATGCATATCGTTTCGAAAGTGTTTTCATAACAATGTCGTGCCCATACCATAAACTGTTGTCTTCTACTGTCCCAGTTTACACAATACTTGATAGATCTGGGTATTTACCGATAATTATTCATACTTCCTAAACTGCTACATCTACAGTAACATACATGCTTGACAGACTTCAAAAGTATTTTGTTGTACAAAAAGCAAAATAAAGGAAAAATCAGGTTGCATATTTTTGTTAACCGTATTTTTCAATTTTGTATTAAGCTTTTCTAAAAAAAAAATGAGTTCAATGGATTTTAGTAAGTTTAATTATTAATGTTCTTTCTTTAACCGAGACATTGGGAATTTAAAAATTATTAATCAATCCTAAAGCTTTATGTAATACGTATGAAAATGTTTGCCCCGACTGACTGACTGTCTGACTGACTGATCCATCAACGCAGAACATAAACTACTGAAACTAGAAACATGAGATTTTGACAGTACGTTTCTTCTGTAATGTAAGTACTCGCTAAAAAAGTGTTTGGGGAATTCCACCCCTAATGGCGTGAAATAAGAGATGAAAGTTTGTATGGGAAGTCCCACAGGGGTAAACGTAAGTGTAGAATAGGTTGATTAAAAAAGTTCTGTTTGAGGTGGTAATTAGCAAGGCGCGGAATAATATCTCATACGCTAAAACCAGTGCTGCCGCGTCGATAGTTTGATTGCAAATATATTTTTCTTTTGAACTATATCAACATAATATAACATTTCATGATCACAAATCTGTGGCCCTGTGGTTGAATAATTAAAAAGGGCATCGAGTATTATTATTTAAAGTAATATAGTAATATGGAAGTAGTTTTTTTACTAGCTGTAAACATTCCTAGCGACGCAGGCTACAACCTTGTGAACCAGATCAAAGCGTCCCCGCTACTCGCCGTAAAACACACCTTACTTCCACTGCAGGATTGCAGCGCTGAGATAGAATTCCGCGCACTGGTAATTAGTCATCACTAATCTGTAATCACACACACTTGTAGTTTTTTTTATCATTATATTTTAATTTTTACAATAAATTGCAGTTCTTCCTATAAATGAAAATATTTTTTTGTTCGTACATACAGCCAAAACATGGTATTTGGGTATTGAATAGCGAATAGAGATATAAAAAACGGTGCTTTTAAATTTAAAAATAGTGCGCTTTAAACACTGTAAAAAGATTTTCTGTGTTGTATTAGGTACATTGTTCATTTCTTTATAAATTAGCTAGTCTTTTGTGTGCTGCTTCGTCCGAAGTCGAAAGGGAAGTTACCCCGAAGATTTCATTTTTATATAGCGGGGTTTTGGAGTGAACGTTTATGAGTTACTGACTCAGAACTTTTATATATATTTTACAGTAATTAGACTCTGTATTTATGAAGACCTTGTCCCTAAAAAAATATGCAAATAAAAGTTGGTTTTCTGTATTTTTCAGATTTACATACAATAATTTAGATTACAGTTTGTTTATTTCATAGCATTTGCGTTCTCAAATTTAATATTGATTACATTCTGCTTTTTTTATTGAAATAACAAGTCCGGCTTAAGTTTAGAAATGTTGAAGTGTTTTAAACCAAAAAAACTAACTCTATTGTAAACTTATTTAATCATCACCGTACCAAAAAATCATCCCCATATTCTAGACAATGTCCAAGATAACATGGACCCAGCCATTCGCAATGGAGACTCAGGCGACAAAGAAGAAGGAGACAGCGGCATCGACGCGAACAGTCAGGGCAGTTGCTCAAGTAACGACATCAAACCGAACGACAAAAGAAAAGATAAAAAGAAAAAGAAAGGAAATTCGAATTCGAAAAATAGTAGTCCTACTTCGAAAGCCGGTTCGAGTAAGTCGCAAAACATGAATGAATCGTCCGATAAACGAAACGATAAAAGTAGTGATGGCAAAAATAAGTCAACATCACAATTTAGAAAAGGACTCGTTTTCGAAGCAACCAAAAGTCCAGCAGAACGAGACGATTTTGAAGCTACTGGTAATGAAAACTACGTATCGAATAAATCTAAAAAAAGTCACGGATACGAAAACGACACTCAATCGAAAAGTTGTTCGTCGACTAGCCCGAAACAGTCCTCCAAAAGGGAGGAAGGGTGGAAAGAAGTTGTGAGGAAGTCAAACGTACAAGCAGTTTCTATGTCCGAGTCGGGAGTTAAGAAGGTTTCTGTGCCGTTAAACGCCATTTCAAGGGTGATTGGTAGGGGTGGGAGTAACATAAACGCAATCAGGGGCGCTACCGGAGCTCATATAGAAGTCGAAAAACAGAGTAAAGGTCAGGGTGAGAGAATCATCACGATCAAGTAAGTTGATTGAGTTTGAAGGGGTTGATAGTTTTATTTTGACGATTGTTTTTATTAGGGGTGCACCTGACGTCACCAAACAAGCGCATTCGTTGATAGCCACGTTGATCAAAGATCCCGATGTAGATATTCTGCAAATGCTTCCGAAGACTAACAAGACGGCAGCAAGCGCCACCACATTATGGGATAAGACTCAAATAGGCGTAAGTAAACGCGTGTAATGTGTGAATATTTTGAAAAAAAAGAGTACACCGACCCAGGGACGCACGGATGGCGTATTAACTCTGCGTCGTCAATTTATATAAATTAAACACGTATATGCGGCGAAGTCATATTTTTTTTTTATATAATAATAATATTCTTTCTATGATTACATTCACACCAGTTTATCTAACGTTGGTTCGTACCTCGAACTCAACATCCTATTATTATAATACAGATCCGATCGTTTAATGCTATTGAAACCAGTCTAAATAAGATTTACAATAGTATAAAGTAGTCACCGAAACATATGACATTCTTAGGTGCTCTGGACACACAATTGACACTCATTTAGATCACATGAACTACAGTATAATAGTTTATGTTTATTTAAATAAGATTTTTGTATAATTCATTTGATTTTTGAACTTATAGTTTGATAACGTCAATTTATTGTGATTATTTTATTTACTCAATCTTGATAAATCGAACTTTTTTCCATGGCACATTCGTTCGAGTTATCGAAGTTCAATTATAATAATAAATAATTGTGGTTTGTCAAGCTTAGACTTCATAAATTTTACGTACATAAATGCTCCAAAAAAATAGTTATGTTAAATGTGCTGTTTCAAAAAATACAAAAACCTGGACAAAAACCCGTACAGTCTTAAAAAACTTGTTGAAGTCTAAAAGTATTACGTAGCTGCGAAAACGTAGCTTTTTCCATCAAACAAAATTTTCCAGTCTGTCGATTTTAAACTTTACGAATAATCGTTGCATTGAATGGGTATTGTTAATTTTTTTAGGATTAATGTCAAAATGAATGAAAGTTGTATTTTTACAAATTAGTACTTTCACGTACATTCTAATTCTCACAAAATATTGTGTAACAATCACTTAAAATTCATATTATTTTAGACGAAGAAAATCACGGGAAAGGTGTTAACAGTAACGCAACCATCTGCCCTAACAACGACAACTCAATCAAAAACCATTCAAACAGTTGCACCGTCGGTAACTTCATCATCGAGATCATCGACCACCACCGTTAAACTTCGCGGAGCCGTCCCTGTCATAACATCCCGCGTAACCGCCCCCAGGTTAGTGGCCCAAGCCGAGAAAAATGCCGCAGCTCAAGCTGCAGCGATCCGTGCATCAGTACCCCACACATCGTCGGTCTCAGCCTCAAGCCGAGCCACCAAACTTATCACCACGACAGCAACACAAACATTCGCCGCAAAGTTGTCGGAAACGACAGCGAACCAACTTTCCGTGACGGTCAGTCACGCATCAGGCGCCAATAAGTCCCGAAATTTGGGACTGCCATCCAACACCACCGGTCCCATTTCACCTCAGTCGGTTCCTCACTCCGCCTCCAACACACACTCGTCGCCAAAGCACAGTCGGCCCACACCGACGGCTTCTGCGCCACCCAACATGCAACACTACCAAAGTCCAGGCAAAGGGCCAGTCTTCGGCAATTCGGGCAGTCAGGCTAACGTTTCAGTTCCGGTTTCAGAGTCATCAGGAACTATAGCGAGGAGTACGACTCCTAATGTCATCCAATCAACTGCGCCAATGCAAGAGGAGATGAGTCAGAATAATATGCAAACGCATCAAGAATACTCACTGTTTTATTCGACGGATCAATCGATGTGGAGGCGAGATAATGAATCTCAGAAACCTGTCAATTTCGCGGCGGTTACCGGAGGTTCGAATTCTCAAACTGTCATGCCACCCAAGTTCATCGATCAAGATCCCCCACAGATGGCAGATGTGTCGAAGGCTCCAGGTTATAGAGGAGGTACGGTTTGCTCACCGGTTTCTTCCAAGACGAGCAGTAATAGCACTACACCACCCAACATCGCTGCTAGTTCGGCGAACTTTCAGGTATATACATTATTATTTATAATAAAAATAGACGTAGGGTGACTGTGGGAATTTCCGCATGTCTCAATGTAACTCTAAAATCTGACTGTATCCAGAAAGCAGCATTATTTTGGAAGGGGTTAGGTAATTTTTCAACCTGTGTTGGTGAAATTAAGACTCATAAGAATTTAAAACACAATCATTTTACGCGAATATGTAAGTAAGAACCAATTTACAAAAGCAACTTCATATAGCCTACGTCGATGCTTTAAATCATGATAGTCTCGTGGTCAAATTGGTGGCGGTATTTTATAGTGCTTTCATGTAATGTAGAAGCTTCTTGTGGAATAAATTTAATAAATTATTGCCCAATAATTTTTTTATTTGGCATATTTAATTTTTATTATTATTATTAGAAAGGCATATTTTTGATTACATGTTTTAAAAATGCATTTAAACATTTCCAGTACACCCAGAAATACTTTTTAGAAAATCAAAAAAAAAGTTTTTTGATACTTCTAAAAGTTTGAAGATTTTTATATTCAATTCCTAATACGAAAAATCTTGTTGATAAAACTCATACACATCGAAATACAAGAAAGTTTAAAAAATAATTGTGGTAACAACTACAAAAAACTTTAACTTCTCGATCGTTTTTATTTTTTCTTGGTCGTTGGAAATGTTTAGTTAATCACATAAATGTAGGTTTAGTGAAACTTTGTTCAGCAGAATCATTTTAAATGCACGATTTAAAGTTACATCAACTTTTAAAAAATGACGTATATATAGGGTTCGTACTCGCTTCATATTTTTGCAAATTTTGTCTAAACTTTCATACGATACGCATTCACTTCAATAAAATACGCATAAAATTGCGAAACTGCACAAATTAATCAGAATCTACAGTTCCGAGAATATTGTCAAGAAATAAGTCTTTCTACGATATGTGGCATGGCAATCAAGGGGCTTAGGGCTACTTGATGTGTGTTTGTGACATGTAATCTACATACAATAAATAATGCGTTTCTCAAAGGAATACATGAATTTGGCCAAGAAGTGCTCGATCGTGTTGCAATAAAATATTTTTTTAAGGATAGACTTAGAATTTTTAAGTTCTTTATTCTTCAAATTTTACATTTATTTGTTATCATTTTATTAACTTTATTAGATTTGCATTAATTGAATATTTTTTATTGCCTTTCATAAAATCGCTTCATAAAACTCAGCTCTACCTTTCATAAAATCTTTTTTTTACTTACCGATTATTAATACACTGTATGATGGATAAAATTATATTTGACATGCTGTTACAAGATGTTAGATGTTACAAGATGTCCTGATGCGTGACATTATTATATTCAGGTGTTCATATTTCCAGTTTTCACGATTTTTGCAGAAGTAATTAAGTGTGACTTATTAATTTCTTTTATTATATTTTATTCCATTAAAAAAATGGGTTAAAAGTTAATACCAAACCACTTCCATTTACGCCCATGTAATTCATATTTTCAGGTATATCCAGAACCTTCGAAGACTCAGCCTCTCCCACCCATTGGCAGCAACATTGGGCGACCGCAAGTTTCAACGCAAAACGATATCGCCACTGCTAATAATTTCTATTCGGAATTTTTCAAACCAGGGTCAACGAACATTCCCCATAACATGCTCAATATGACCAACGAGGGGCAACTGCTGCAATCGACTTACCAGAATAATTCTTTGAAAAACTTCAGTTACGCTCAATCACAGCAGACGAATATGCCCTTGGTGAGCATGTCGAGGCTCAATCCAAAAGCCCCGGATTTTTCAAGTACCGTTTACAACGCTATGCCGACTAAACAGGGTCCTCAGATGTACAATGGCTTCCCAATGCCCGGACAGAACAACAGTGCGTTGTATTCTGGGGCGAAGACTACGGTCGACTCATACAGGTACGAAAAATGAATAACTAAATATTCAAATTTTTGGAAAACTATTTTTGCTGATAGTGTATACTTTATATTGAAAATGTTTATTGGTTTTAAGAACGAGGTTTTACTCAAAAATGCAGTTGTAGTTTTATACACTACGCAGGTTGAGTTTTCGCAGACACATTGCGTTATGCTCGAAAGGAAATGTTACCACACGGGTTATGAACGTCAATTATGAAGTGGGACATATTATCCGGTAGCACGGTGGTTCCGGTATACTTAGTAACATGGGCGTGTGGTTACGTTAAATCGGTAACTTGATTTTTGGCATTAGCGTCACTGTTTATATCTTAACTGAAGTTAATAATATTACAAAAAAGAAAACAGGTCATAAAATGTGTGAACATATAGTAAATAAAATTCATTTGCAGCAGCTTATCTTGTATTCACAGTGGTTTGCAACTTTTAAAAAGGATTATATTTATCGGAAGTTATTGATTGCTCCAGAATTTACAAATCTGTTTATAATCTTTGTTATCAAGTTTTTACCCATTTTCGTAGTTACATTTAATATATAATATACAATCAATGAAAATAATTATACAATCGTCAACTTGAGTATAAAGCAACTAAATTTAGCCAACTAAGCTTTTCCGGAAAACATTTGAATTACAACTAAAACTTGGTCAAAAAGTCACTATCCCTTTAGTAGCAGACGACTTCTTTTTACATTTTGTTACTCGGAGACATCATACTGTTTGTATTGATCATATTTTGGAGATGGTCCTCTGAATATATTTCTTTTCATCTTGTACGTTTATTGCCTTCTGTAATCTTGAAATTTTGAAGTTCTTTGAACGTATTATACTACGATCTCTCCTTCTTTAACTCATCTTTCAAGTGCGTCTTATTCTACATCTTGTTCAAAAATCGACATTACCCCATTAATTGTTAAAGCGAGGAATGTTCTTTCACGGTGATGTTAATTAACGCTTTCAGCTTGCTTTCTGTCTTTATTAACATTCGACACGTAAATCGTAGTTGTGTGACCACAATTACACTACTTTGCATTTTGTATATTTCTCAAAAATGGAAACTTACTGTAATTTTTTTATTTTTGAGTGTACCTACGTAGTAGCAGAGTTTAAGTTATAATTTATATTTACCACCTGTTAATTGGAAATAGTTAACTTTTTTTTTTATACCGGGGCATTTTTTTTAGCTTGGAACATATAAGTAAATATGGGCTTAATCCGTATGTCCGTATATTCGAAGTATGCAAACAATGTTACGTTAAAAATACAAATTTGATTTTGTAGAAGAAAAAATTTCAAATTTGTCGCAATGAAGTTGATGAAGATATTGAGTTTTCAAGATATTTTCTTCAGTTAAACCATAATTCATTCTATTTCTTTAACAGCGTTTGTACTAAATACATCGAGTATTGTTTACATTTTTGTAAAACATTTTGTCACAATAGTTTTAATTAGTTGATTTTTTTATCAAAAAGCATACTTCAGTGCATTGATGTGTGTTTTTTAAAACTGAATACAGAGATTAAGCCCATATTTCTTTTCATATGTTCAGAGTTAAAAATATTTCTAATACATAAAATTAATTAATTGTGGTATATTTTTTGGCTGAAATAGAAGAACCCATTTAGTGGCATCTTCATTACATACCGAGCCTTATCCCATTTTTAATAGGCAGTTAAAACGAATATTTGAAATTTTTAGTCCATGCAGTAACGCATTTTCATCAGCAAGTATGCAAGTGTGATGAATATTAACAACTAAAAGATGAAAAAAACGAAAGTATGCAAAAAACGATCAGTAGATTTTATTACCTAGCTTAACATGATTACTCCATACTCTAATCTACGAATTGTCACATTTACTTTTAAAAACACGATAAAATTTGTCATAGTTTGATAACTAACGGTTTTTATTACTGTTATTTTGAATTATATTAATTAACAGTTATTTATTATTTTAGAAAGAGATTTCATTAATAAGATCTGTGGCGCCAGTTGTAAGTTAATATTTGTTATCTTATCGAATCTGACCGTAGATTTGATTGAAAACAAATGAGTCTTTGAACAATATAAATACAGTATCACAATAATATTTCATTATTTCTGTACATTATGTTGCAATACAACATATTTCATTTGACATACTAGTTTAGCCGTAGGTAAAAGGGCACATACCTCTGACACATTTTGCTAGTGTGTTATTCAACATATCACGAAACTTAATTGAACCGGTTATTTGGAAAAGGTCACATGTGACAATTTTGAGAAAAATACTTTTATTTTTTGTATGTATTGTATGTGTAATTATGAACAAACCCGCGCGTTTTAATTTGTGTGCATAGAGATTGACGTTTTTTAATTCAGTAACTATTCTTCGTTAAAAAACCGTGGGGGTCTGAACAACTGATTGCGTATGGAAAAATTTAAAAGTTCACCAACAGAAATGTTGCAATTCCGTGGTAAAATTTAAGTTTTCGTATAAAAAAATGACTCATGCGAAATTCGAAGATCGGGCTCGAGGGGCTAATAAATCATGGATGATAGAACCGTCAAACCGATTTTGTAGTAGCTGTTAGCGTGAAGTGTTTATTGTATCAAGTTAAACATTTTTGGAGCAGTGAGTGTTTCAGATAGCAGTGACGACGAAAAAAATATGTCACAAACTGGACCTAAAAAAAAATGTTGACTGTTATAAATTAACTTTAATAAAGAAAGCTAAGAACAAGGGGTTGCGATATGTTAACAATAAAAAATATTCAAAACTTTAAATTGTTATTTTTATGATAAAGTTTGGAAAAGAGCAATTAAAAAACTCTTTTTTGTATTATTTATTATCGTGATAATAGTTCGGTCGGAAAATAGAATTATGTATTAGATTTCTGTAGCTGTGAGAAATTATATAAAAAATCCACATTACATTGTGCACTTCCATTTGAAATTAAAGCAGTTTTTTGTTTCTACTGTAAAATTTTACTTCATCAACATGTGACCTTTTCCAAATAACCGATTCAGTTACTATTACATACCACGTGTTTCTTTTATTTGATACAACCCCCGTAATTTTTTTATTTTAAAAAATAATCATATAGTTCTTTGACCAAATTTGTACCATTTTAAAACATCACCTATGTGAATAAGTGACGTGAGTGTCAATTTTTCAAGCTACTAGATTGTCATCAATAAATGTGAATTTTTCGTCTATTTTATTTAATAATTTTTTTAAGTATTGATTTTAGAAATATTGGTTGCCTTTGATTTTTAGAAAAAACAGTCTTTCCATTTATGAAGAAATATACCTAGTGTTCCATAAAAAAAAATTAAGTTGATGTCATTTCCGGTTTTACTGGGAGTGATAATATAAATGTGAGGTTGCCATCACATAGATCTTTTAAAATGATACATTTTGCTCAAAGAACTACACGTTTATCTTTAAGAATAAAAAAGTTACAGGGGTTGTATCAAATAAAAGAAACACCCTGTATAACTAATTTTGTTTAATAAATGAGAAAATTAACTGACTTTCTTTATTTTCAATTTGTAGATCAGTTTAATTCAGTACTTTTTATTTCTTTAATATTCAACGCCACGAATTTGTAAGAATAGTTATGATTTGACAAAAATTCCAGGTCAGGAGTGGGCTCTTCACAAGCTCGTTGGCCTCTCATGCAAATGCAACAGCCTTTCACGCAACAACAGAGTGAATTGATCAGCGGGATGGCTACGGGAATGACACTACATAGTTTAGCGAGGGCGACCGGTAGTGAAATTCTGGAAAACGGACCAGATCTGGGTATGGTGAACCATTCACCGAATATGTCGCCGAATTTACCAGCTGCACACAACATGCATCAAGGTGATGGTCATTATTTGGAAGACAGGAAGCAGCCACAACCTATTGGTACGGAGAGGGCGCGAAAAGTGTACACAAATGTGGATTCGACAGGATGTTGGATGTTTGGGAATGACACAAAACCACCCGCTCGGTGGGCGAATAATGATCATTATAATCTGGGCAGAGGACAAGTGTACTCTGAGGAGATGCAGTATGTCGATGCGTTTGCGGTAAGTGAGATTTTTGTTATTGCAACATATTTAGAATTTTTGATGTACATTTTACACACTTACAATGGATATAATAATAACAGAAACAGAAAGTAAGGGAAAAGGAATGAACTAAATCAAAAGTAATATAATACCTCAATAACCTTACACGAGTTACCTTGTTTTTACACAAGGCACAAGATAAACATGTAGATACAGATATGGGTATTGCAATTTCCGTTGGCTAGTCGAAAGTATATAAAATTAATCATAATGAATATGTATTGGATCTTTTTCATTGACTGTTTAAGAAATATGATCAAGATTTTGCTCCAGAAGCGGAAAGATGCAATAGCGGATCAATCAGTGGTAGATTTTTGGTCAAATTTAAAATATAAGTTTGAAGTTGTATGCCGGAAAATTGTGGTAATTTTTGGAATTATTAAGCATTTCGGCTTTTTATTTCGAGTTCCACATATTTGAAAAATTTCTTGATGTAAAATGAGATTTGTTGTCAATGTTCAACACGCGACATTCTTTCAATTTATCTGTAAGACTTGTTACTTGAACTAACACAACTTTGTTTAATCTAGAGCGATATTTGTGTTCTAGTACAATTAGTAACGTTTTCGGACCGGACATATTGTACTCTTCTTCAGTAATAAGAATGATGCCTAATATCAAGAATATGCGTAGTGAACTTTGAAAATGCACTGGTTTTTGGTTATAAAGCACCACGCATTCTCAGATTTTTAAGAACATGACATCTAAAACCTGTTCTTCGGTATCCACATTATAAATAAGCGCTACGTGAAATCCTATTAAATATTACCGCTCTTTACCGATCTTTCATAATAAGTGAGCCATTTGCATTTTCTTTTAAACTTATTGACACTTACGTATTTTGCTTTTCCTCCTATTCTTAATATGTACACCAAATTTGTCATGTCCAACGGGCGGAATTGTGTTTCATACGCTAGATCCAGTGCTGTCGCGGCGATAGTTTGATTACAAATATATTTTTCTTTTGGACTATATCAACATAATATAACATTTCAAGATCACAAATCTGTGGTCCTGTGTTTGAAAAATTAAAAAGGGCATCGAGTATTGTTTTTTGAAGTAATATAGTAATATAATAGAAGTAGTTTTTTAACAAGCTGTAAACACTCCTAGCGACGCACTGGCTACGACCTTGTGGACCAGATCAAAGCGTCCCCGCTACTCGCCGTAAAACACACCTTGCTTCAACTGGGGAATTGCATCCGTAAGATAAATTTCCGCCTACTGGTCATGTCCTTGAAAATACATATTTAACAATTTAAGTTGTCACAAGCAGCAATTATTAAATAAGTCGAATATTTAAGTTAAACTCCAAAAGTGTTAAAACGATGAGAAAACCGAATTTGACAAACGAAAAGCGAACGACTGAAGAAGGGAGCGGTAAAAAGAATATGAAAAGAAGTAATGCTTCTTTCGTGGTTTTGATTGACAATAAGCTTATGAATGTTAATTCTAAAAAACAAGGAAAATGTGGTCTGAAAAAAAATTACAGAACAAAAAAAATGGCAATATGCGGTTAGTTGATTATAAAAGAAAAGGCACAGCGTGGTTGTAAGTTATCATGTGCAGTTGGAATTCCGCCCACCTCGGTAAGGAGGTGACTCAAAAACGATAAAACTAAGAAGTATTCTAATTCCATGAAACCGCTTTTCAAAGAGGGCAATAAAGTAGCACGTTTGGAATATTATATGTCGTTTGTGAAAAAGAATGGCGAGTTTGACTATTTAATGAATTATATCCACATTGATAAAAAGTGGTTTTATATCACTAAAGTGAACCAGAAAATCTATCTCATGCCTGATGAAAATTGTGAAAATATTACTTTCAAACAAATAAAAATAGAAAATGGCGCACTTATTAAAAAAAAAAAAAAAACGAAAATAACGCATTTATTTTGGAAAAAACGAAAATGGCTCATTTATTTTGGAAAAAATAAAAATCGGTAATGGCTCACTTATATTACGGAACAGACGGTAGTATCTTTTATATGTATACGATGAAATGAAATTGCTTCTCTTATTCGTAGTACCCACGATCACATTCCAATGTCCATTAATCAGTCATCTTTGGCGCAGCGGCTTCTCCTCATTTCAATGATCAACTTCGTGACAGTTATGACGAACGATTTTCAATTTATGTACGTATGTATAGTTTCCTCAAACCTATAAGGCGTTTATGGCTTTGACGTTTAAAGTACTTTACAGCCGACCCTTCATAAAGCTTAGTAAATGTAAACCATGCCACGTGCCAGGGACGGCCGAGACGCGAAGGACCGGACTAAGAGTAATTTTGTTTTTAACGTTTCTTCCGTACCTTAATTATTTAATCATTATTCTGCATATTTGAAACAATTATTAAGATACTGATAGCAAAAAACATAAAATCTTTAATAAGTACGATCGCAATCATAGAAAACTGGTCCACTAAGTTTTTTGATAAATCAAATAATTTTGACGATGTCACCGTCCTTTGTTTCAAATCCAGAGGGTACATTCATATTGCTGTGATATTAAAAATAATACATGACTACAGAGCGAAAAGTATGCAGCAAAATTTTGAGAAATATGATCGTGTAATATGCATGAAATTTATGAAAATATGCTGTAACTTTATTAATATATGCAGAGATATGCAGTTGCATATTCTCCAAAAATTTAAAAGAAGTGTAATAACACAACCAAATTTATTTCCAAATTATAAAAACAGGTTTATCAAGCTTAATTTTTTTAATAAAAAATACATGGATAAATAAAATGTTTAAAAATTATTGTCTTACACTAAATAGTGACAAATAAATAAAAATTAATAATAATAGGCCATTGAATTAGTATTTTTGTAGCAATTTATATTTAAATACTTTTCGAAATATTGTAGCAAAAAATTTTGCCGATGATTCGAAAACATATATTTGTAAATAGAAATGCGGTTTGTAGCAGAAGCTACAAAACACAGTGCCTTCTTGAAGAATAAATTCAGAAAAAGACCAGTACAGGGCACGGTTGATAAAACCGTTAATTGTTAATTTAGAAGAGTCAAATGATGATGACAGTGACTATTTCGATCAATAAATAAGCAGTAGTAGTTAATAAGTAAATATGTAGTTGTGTATGTCAAAATTCTAACTACTTAGCTGTAATAAAAAATGATTGAGTACAAAGTTACTTTGTTTTTACTTAAAATAAAAAAATCGGAAGGCGCAGTTGTCGGTAAATGCAAAACTCAGTCCTGCCCTGTGCTTTTACCAGAAAAGGTCTTTTCAGGTAGGTATCGGTGAGCGGGTTTAAGACATCCGGTTGTGACGGCCTATTGAATTATAATGGGAGTCAAATTGGTGTGAAGTCATAAACGCCTTATATGTTTGAGTCCAGTATACATGTAAACAGCCCGATTTTTAGTACCGTTTCACTTTACTCATCTTCAAGACGCACCTGTCCAGTTGTTTATTCATAAGTAGTAGGATAATAAACCTTACTTGACAGAAGTTCATACTTTTATGGCGGTTTTAAAAGTTAGGTCTGCCACTTGTATTTTCCACTACTATAAATAATAATACAATGGTGTTCCGAAAGTGCTTCGGCCTCTTCTATGTAGCCTGCTGGCCTTACTTTCAATACCGCTTCGCTTGACTCATCCCCATCTCGCTCCTGAGCAGATGTTTATTCGTAATAAATAAAAGAGTAATAAATATTATTTGACAGTTCATACTTTTATAGTAATCCTACGGCGGCTTTAAAAGTTAGGTCTGCCACGTTTGCCTTGCAGGAGTATACCACTGAACCCTTGCGATACGAGAATGAAAATTGGTACTTTTAAGATTAACTGCATACAATTTAACACGTCCAAGTTACAATTCGATTTTCAATTGCGTAAGCTCACATCGGATTGTGACGGAATAAAATCTAGGAAACAATGCAAAAATGAAAAAGCTTTATGATTAATGCTTATCATTTGAGTTAAATATAGGGTCTATATTTAGATATCGCTATCTGTTATTCAATTTACATATACCTCAATAGATATTCGATAACATTCCTTGTCTTCAATTTAAAAACGTTTATTTCAGTGCAGACTTTTAAGAATTATCAAAAATTGAGATTTTCTTGATTTTATTATGGAATTACTTTTCATTTTGGTATTTATGCGTTGTTTGAGAGACACTTAAAAATTCTTAATTCGACGACTAAATGTAAACGAATATGTCTTTCTTTTTTTTTTCAGTCATGAGTGTTACATTTTGAGTAATAAAAAAATATCTATTAGTACAGTAAAACTTAAGGAATTAGATCAGTAAACAGCAAAAGAATTTTTTTAAGAAGTAAAAAGAACTTAAGATTTGCAACCAAGTTTTCATAAATAAAAATAAAAATTAGTACCAAAATTTGCGGAAAGATTTTATGCTAAATTATGTAGGATTTGTGTGATATCTTCAAAAATTTTGAATGGTTTCAACGACCCCTAAATTTGTCAAGGATAAACTAGGTATATGTATGCCACACACCGTAAGCCCCGCCCCTGGCCTCTTTCGTTCTGCACTCGACTCTATTACTTATCTACTTAGATTCTATATTATTTTATTTCTTTATGACGATTAAAAGTGGTTAAAACGGTTGTATTCCAAAGAGTAAAAAAGTGGCGCTTTTGAAATTACCACTATTTATTCAACTCAAACATGTTATTTTTGCCACACAGAAAATTTCAACACACTGTTCATCGTTTACTTCTGTTCTTTCCCTTCAAACAAAAACAAATTTAAGCTTTTTTTGCTATGATATCGTTAGCAGTATTGGCTTTAAATGACTGAGCAAAAATGTAAATATCCGTATAAATAAATGAAATGTTGTCACGATTTCAATTCTCCTTTTGTTTCAAGTAAAAATATTTTTCTTGATTTTGTTTTCTAAGCGAAGCCTTAATGTTCCTTCTATTTGTAGCCTGTGATGCCCTTGGAGAGCCCTCACAACTTCTCAAACGGACCAATCCAACCGTATTTAATGCAACAACAACCAATCGGAAGGCCCCATACCGATTTCATCCAAGTGGAAATGAAAGACTTGCCTTGGGATGGTAATCGTCCGAACGTTAACGACATTCAAGAAAAATCGCAACACGTAAGCTGCGAAAAGTGGTTATAAATTGAAATCAATTGATTTGTGTTATTTATTACTGATAGGGATGGGCCGGTATGTCGAAATGGAACCAGTAAACATGGATTTTACATGATCAGAACTATAAGCGTTTTTTTGACTAAGTCCATCGTGCGAAATTTAGCTTACATCTTTGTGATCTTTGGGATACAAGTTTTACAGTAGAACCTAGTAATAGTTTTTGTTTATGGTATCTCTATTGAAGTACACACATGTGCAAGTGTCTGGTCTAGGAGGCCCATTATACAGGCCACGAGCCCCCTTGCCTGCATTCGGTGTATATAAAAAAACCTATTCAGAACATTATTCTAATTGTAGTATGTTGTTTGCATGTCCCATTATTTGGTTTATAACTGCTTATAGTTTATGAAATAAACTGTTTTACTTGATTATCTTTTGTAGCCAGATTTGGATCATGAATGATAAATACAGCTTCACTAGCGGCTCCAAAAACAAGCCAATGTCGAGCTGAAGTTAGAATATATAATTATAATATAACACTATGTATAATGTAGTAGTTGCGCAATGGTGTCGAGGGATTGGCGATAGGGACAAGTGTTAACTTGTGAATAATTTGTTCTCTATTCGAATATTTACTTTCATTTCTACATGTGTAAGCGCAGTGTTTGTATGCCTCACGTCTGGGTTCCACCCGGCACAAGCACTCGGTGGGTATCGCTGACTCCCACGAAACTGTAGGGTTATTATTATACGGATCATTATGTAATATTGCTTGTACATGAAGACTTAAATATATCTTTATGCACTGTGTTCTAATTTTATTATACCGTGAATTTGCTCATCTAGATTGGTTATGCAACCAGATGTAAAAGAACAGGTACTATTTAGTCCAAGTGGATATGAGGTAACATTCTTGGGTTTCACTTTAAAAACACCAACAATTTTAACAGCATATTAAAGACATTTACAAAAGTGATGCAACATATCTGCAAAAAATATATTTTTTAACAAAATGCTGTCGGCGAAAACATCGCTAGTTGGATCTACATATATTTGTAGTTGTTTTTTCATCGCTATTGTGAGTAGTCGACATTAAAAAAACCTACTCTTGTAAATCAATCTGAGGGCCGCTTTGTGTTGATTAGTGCTTACACTTCTGATACAGGTTTGATGGGAGTAAATAAATTAAATAGCGACTTGCGTTTAAAGACGTTTAGTAGGAACTCATACTGAAATTTATCGAAGTAGCGTGTGGATTCCAGATACGCAGAAAATTGTGTACACTTTATCTGAGTGGCACCTACGAGCTGCGTGATAAATGCATCAATTTTGACCTTTGTGAGACACGTGATGTGAGATTATAAATAAATGACTCAGGGCTTCCCACCTTTTTTGAAGCACTCACAATCTTTTCTACTGATTCATCAGCAGCAATCTACACAGGCAGTAAAAATTTTACACATTGACTTCAACTTTATTACTTATACATAAAAAAAAACAACAGATATTTTTTCTTACAAATAATCACAATAAAATATACCTCACATGGTTAATAAGTCTCAAAGACGGTCGTTTTATTTAATATACATTGATAAAAATAAATTCTATAACACCAAAAATAAGTGGCCGGTGAATCTAAATTAGGGGAATCCTTCCAAATCAAGACATCTGTGAACATGATTTTCTAATGACTGATAAGTGGTAAATCCAAAATCACATTTTGGACATTTGTATCCTTCAGCCTTGGGAGGTTCGTTTCGGGCGCGCAATGTCTCAATTTCATTTTGCAGTTGTTTGTTTCGTTTCTGTACATTCTGCAAGTCTTCCGCTATTTGATCTTTCTCTCGTTTTAGGGTGGCCTTTGATTCTTTTTCTGCTTCAAAATCACTTTTATACACTGTCAGCTGCTCCTTTAACGCGAATATTTCATCATTTTCAGATTCTTCAAGTAATTTTCGAAGTTGAAAAATTTCTTGACCTTTAGCTTCGCGTTCTGCTTCCAGTGCTGTAATTGTTTGTTGTGAGATACTTAACTGTCTCTTTACTTGATTGTAGTCTTCAACAAGATTAGAGTCATATTTTTCTTGTAATCCTTTAAGTTGTGCTCTTAATTTGTGATTTTCCTTCATTTGAACAGCACTAAGATTCTTGGCGTCCTGAAGGGCCTTTTTAACGTTTTCAATTTCCAATTTCAATTCTTCTTCATAATGTGCAGCAGTTTTTGCTGATTGTACAAATTGCTCTGATTCTTGCGATGCATTGCACAACTTGTATTTTAGATCTTCATTTTCTTTTCTTAACTTGGTAACCTCCTTTGTCAAAACTGAGAGATCAAACTGAAGGACATTAATTTCTTCTTGTTTCGTCTGCACCTGTTCTTCGAGTCTTGGTGCATGTACCAATTGTTCTGTCAGTTTCTTGAGCTCCTGATGTTTCGATGACAAATCTTGCTGAAGTTTTGGCATATTTTCAACTTTCGAAAACAACTTTTTGTTTTCTTCATCCAAAGTTTTGTTATTGTCAACTGCTTCTGTTAATTTGGTTTGCAAATCTTCAATCTTTTCTTTCAAATTTTGAACTTCTGAATTTAGTTTTACATTTTCTGCAATCAATTCTTCAGTTTTTTGGTTAGCATTTGCTATTTCAGTCTGTAATTCATTTGTACTTGCAGTAGCCTCACTCAAAATTTCCCCAATACTGAAATCTTCTTGCTTTCTCACTCTCTCCTTCAATTTAATAATTTCTTCTTCATGGAGTCTTTTAATGTTGATATATACTTCAACTTCACCACCCAGTTTTGCATTTTCTTCCTTAAATTTATCTATGCAATTTTTAGCTTCAATCAATTTCTCTTTGTACGTTTTCATCACGTGGGTCACTTCATCCCTATATCTCACAAACCTATCAAACTGTGTCTTCATACTCATATTATTTTGTGCAATAATATTTTTCAAAGTTTCATTCTCTTTTATTAACTCTTCAACCTGTTTCTGAATTTCTTCATATGACGAATCTGGTGAAATTGTGATTTTAGCCACAGACGAAGCTACTGCATCAAGAGGATCAACCACTGCTGGCATTTCTGGAACCGAATTTGAAGTGATCTGTGAAATTTCCATTTTGATTAAATTCTGCATTTCTCGAACTTTGCTGGTCCTAAACAGCGGCAAGACGTCACCATTCATTGAAGAACTAGGCATCTTTTCACTGATGGTAGAAGAAGTTTCTAACACCACGAAAGAATCTTCATCGTCGGATCCATCAGGTAGTCCAGAACAATCCATGCTGGGTTTTACCGCAATAAATGATTCTTGATTTTCCATGGCACAAGGAGCGGGTACACTATGAGTGTTGAACTTTTCTCTATATTTATCCGATTACATCAAAATCAAAATACTTTATAGATTACAACAGCTGACACACCAATGACGAACGGAATAATAAATGCAGGATTGCAGGATGCAGGACGCAGAATGCCACCCCACAGTAACAAAAATACTGTGGTTTGTAGGGATTTTTAGTTTTATCAGTGATGTATGTTGTTAAACTCCCCAACACGAGTGACACAACACAACTCAAAAACACAGTAAATACCAGTAACGAAAATGTCAGCTGTTCACCTGGGAATCTTACTGAACAACAGAGGTCACTAGCTGTCTCTAAACGGGCTCCGACCTTGAAGAACAGTTTTTTTTCTCATTTTAAGGTTCTCGGTGATCGTTTTGTATGGTTTTGTCAGAGATAATAGAGATATGACAGCTCGCAAAATTAAGCGACAATAGTCCTTATGTACTGTGCCCCAAACCGTCACTTTCGGGCGCGCTATTTAAATTTGAGTGAAACTTTCGTAGCGCGGCTATTTGATTACCAGGGATATTTCCAATCGTAAGAATATACCAAAAGTGGTTAATCTTTCTTCCAAAAATACTAGGTTGCTCATAAATGGAAAAAGACAAGATTAAAAAAATTACAATCATTAAGTTTATTCGAAAAATGATTGTATTACATCTAACATTTGTTGGTGCTTTTGTAATGTTTACATCCTGATTAATAGTAAATGGATAAAAAAAAACATTAAATTACTCAAAATGCTTGTATTAACTTTTCTTATCCTTTAAAACTCTAAAATGTGCATACACAACACAAACTGTACAATTTTATAGCGAGGATAATAATAAAAGTACCCTCTAGCTCATTCAAAGATTGTTATTACAACCTAACGTTGAAATTCAAGGACGACACTTTAAGGGGTACAAATACAGTTATAATATTGAATGTTACCTTTTCATTGCGAAGATGACTTTAGTCACTTTTAGTTCTGTGCGGGTGTTAATAAAATTATTTTTATCCTCATATTATTAATAGTTATTTACATCACACTTTATTAGAATATAACCAAATACAAGCTATTGTTCTGTATAAAATATATGCAGCACAACCCAACTGGTAATTGTGCTTTTGATTTAGCAACATTTTGTGGGGGCTAACAAATCCCACAAAATTGTGCAACATGTAATATTTGTATAGTCTGTATTTATTGACTTCCAACCACTATCATCCTGAAACTTTCTCTTCGTACACCTGCATGTCGTAAAACCTATCTTTTGTTCGCCCTTCCCAATAATTCTTATCCTTCGAAGATTTCGAGTACCTTCTAAGAACCCTTTCGACACAACCGTTTCACCGCTCTCTACCGACCTGTCTTTTCATTTTCAAAATCACAGACAACACTCTTCGCTTTTCCCTTATCTACTGAACCGACAACATTAAAAATAAATATACCACAAACGCAAGTCCTCTTTTAATCATCTGATCACACCACAATTCTTATCTGCTAATGAAGATATCTCCAATTTAAGTGAGAGGTACAACATCCCCACCATAATTAATAATTCCCAACCATCTCATAATGCCCTAAAAATAGATAGGATAGAGTACAAAGAGTTTGATTTAGCTGAACAAAATATCTTACGATAAATATGTGGATACTCAGTGGATGCATGCTTAAAACACTCTTCTCAGATATGCTGTGAATATATAAATGCATGTGGCAGAAATTCTAGAACTACATTATTGTCGTTTCCAAGCCCACAATTCTGAAACTTTATCTTATGGCAATCTTAATGTTTCGTATGAACAGTTTGCATATTACATTGAACAATTAGAAAATGCCTTCAGTAGATAATATACTTTCGCTTCAAGTTCCCAGACAACTTAAAAACCAGCTGGCCTTAATAGCATCCATGTAGTAATCTCCCCCTTGATTACCTTTTGTCATTATTTGTGCGATTACGTATATTTTATACATTGAAATTCCATAATAGGGAACTACAGAAGCAACCTAAAAAACAGAGTAAATTAATCATTTTGTCCCATTTATAGAGCATTTGCCAGTTTCATCGATTAATAATTAATTATAGCTGCAGAAAATCATCGGTTTACTTATCAATGTTATTTTTATAGAACTATTCCTGTACTTACCAATAGTATATTGTTTGTTAAAATGTATGTAACTGTAATAAATACATACATGCATATGCAGTTAACATGACTTTTCTTTTATAATTTGAAACCATCGCATCATATTTAATTGAGGTTATCTCAGAGTTCGTGTTTTTCGTTCGTTATGTCACTTTTACTAGTAATATATTTAGTAACATTTAACATAGATATTAAGATATCAGGTTTACCACCACAAATGTTGTGCCCCCAACCGTCCTTTACGTCAAATTCTGTGTTCACTTCGCTCCCATGCATTTCTTATGGAGCATTCAAAAGCTGTCATATCTCTGTTATCTCTGATACCACCCTCGCTTTGCGCATCTCTGTTTCTTTGGGGTGGTTGGTTGCCAACCTCTTCTTCTTGTCAACCGTTTCTTGTGCGCGCGAAATTCGTTTGAAATTTAAAAATTCGAATTGGATCCTTACAATGTGTTGTGGAAGTTTGTTCAAAAGAATGACTTGACATATTCTTCATATCAAGTAAAATAGTGTCACGACTCTCTGGACACTTGATTCCTGAACTTGTATGTCGAAATAATCTATTAAATACAGTAGCGGTCATTTCTACGGAACCACTCGATAAAAAGTCAAGTTGATAGCCCTGTCATCTAGTACTTTACGCCGAACGCGGTTGGTAGCGGTAGTTGATATGGCAATCGAAACTAGCACAACACGAATGTTTCAGTTGCCCTCAGTTATGCCGCACTGTATCCAGTGCAGACTGTATGTTCTGTTCATCTGTTTATTAAAATAAAATATCTACACTGACAATGGGGCCATCTAACCTGTCAAATTTTTGACACCTATGTTTTCCCCCAGAAACCCGTCAAGGTCACTTACACCAAACAAATTTTGAAAATTTACACTAGGGAGTGGTTCTATAGAAAAGATCGCGACTTTATATAGTTACTTTCTGATGAGACGCTCTTTGGAATTGTATTGGTGTGGGATTTATAACTATAATTCCCAAACTGATGCCACATGGAGTGAAAATTGTATTCTGTAAAAACTATTAAAAGTAATAAGCACGAGGTTTATGTCCCCGAAGCTGTTTTTTTATTTTTTTGTGACTGATTTAAAAATTTAAAAGTGAATCATTTTTTGTAAATTTTTGACGTGACAACGTCTTATAATTCGATTGAGCCGGCTGCACGCACGAAAAAACATGACTCATGCGGCGTTACCTCGCTCTGAGGCGTTCCATGTGACTCATGCGGCGTTACCTCGCTCTGAGGCATTCCATGTAAGGCTTGAAGTGCAAGCGAGAACGCGACAAAATTAAAACAATAAGTTAACAGAACTATTTCACGATGAGTAAAAAATCGATGGCTTTACTATTTAATCGAAATAATTTTCGAGCGTAGCTATGATTTAAGAAAATTAAAACATAAATATTAAATCTTCCACATATCACAACAACGTGTCTGAAATTACAGGTTGGACCAGCCAGCCGTCAAAGGGAACATTTTCTCCTATATCAAACACATTGAGGCGGGCTTTTTAAACACTAGATTTACGAAAATCTTAATGTTTCCAAATTTTAAATTTTAAATGTAAGATTTATAAACAATAATTTAATCATTGTTTATTCTTATAATGAATTATTTGAAATTATTACTTTTTTATAACAAATTACAATTTAATTTGCAAAAATAATTAAGTGACTATTGAAAAAATTTAATTATATTATTAAAATAATAAAATCAAAATTTAAGAAATTTTAATAAATTATTTTCTTAAGACGTTGTCACGTTCAACTATCGTCAGTAAACCGACTTTACAGACAACCGATTTTTTTTTTTGTTCATGCAATAACTTTCGGCAAAAATTTGTTTAGACGGCTATTATTTTGTTTTATTGTCTGTACTCGCATGTTAAACTGATCGTCATTCTTCTTTCACGACTTTATTTCTCACATATTTTTCAAAGAAACTTTTTGATATTGAAGTATTCGAAAAAATTACGTGCATGACACACAAAGGAAAGTGTCTTTTCTTCACTCATCGTGTTTGTGTGCGTTATGATGCAAATGATGCAAAAATATTTGAATCTTCGTGTTTTGCGGGAACGAGCTCCCAAGGTTACACCCGTTCCACAAACATTGCCGATGTTTCGGTACTGGTATTTACTGTGGTTTGTGTGATACAAAACAATGAGCACCGTTTTCCCTCTATACAATATAATACCTCTTTGTGCATGTCTCCCGAACTTCAAAAATATATTATTTATTTATGAAGTTCGTGGTATATCCAGTGATGTATGTCCAGTTAATCTACATATAAGTTGGGTGACTCATGTGACTGTGATATAAATTAAGGTAATCTAGGGAATTTTTCCGTCACTGCTTAGAGATTTATAAAATTTTTATTTGGCAATACTGCAAACAGCATTTTTTTGGTGGCATCCATGTGGCATCTGTCATCTATGGGTGGCATTTTGTTGTGGATCAAAGTTATGTTTTTATTAGAGGACAGTTGAACGTATATTTTTTGCAGCTTTAAAATAGAAAAATAGACCATGGAGACAATTTTAGAACAACAAAGGCGTTATCATGAAGAAAAAGAACGGCTGGTAGATGCCATGGTTAAAGAGATGTTGCACAAAAAGACCACCGTAAGTAAATCGCTGGAACACAAGTTTCAGATACTTTCACTGTAATTTTAGTACCGCGAAGCAATAAATTCCGATTATCGTCTAAAATGTTTACTGGATAGATATATGGTAGCAACAGATCGCCTGATTGAATTATATGAAGACAAAGATGGACAACGAAAAGCCGAAGTTGCAGCCCTTACAGGACCAAATGAATTTCAAGAGTTCTATAATCGACTTAAACAAATTAAGGATTTTTACAGAAAACATCCCAATGAGGTACATTGGGCTATATATTTTCCATATAGTAATTTATATAGTTCTTGTTTACAGATTAGTGTACCAATGTCTGTAGAATTCGATGAATTAGCTAAAGCACGTGAGAACCCCTCAGAAGAAATGGCGAGTATGTATTAAGTGCTTGGTAATAAATTTCACGTTATTAATGTTTTTTTTTCAGATTTGGTGGATTTCACTGACGAGGAGGGTTATGGCAAATATTTAGATCTTCATGAATGTTATGAAAAGTACATCAACTTGAAAGGGATAGAAAAAGTTGACTACATAACATATTTAGCTACATTTGATCAATTATATGACATTCCCAAAGAGCGAAAAACTGGTGAATATCGTAAATATTTGCTCAGCTTAATTGAATACTTAACATGGTTTGTGCAAAGAGTAAAACCTCTATTGGATGTAGACAATGATCTACAGGCAGAAGTGGATGCTGTTATGGTCCAATGGGAATCAGGAACGGTACCTGGCTGGCCTGTATGTCTCACATTTGTTTGAAATGTTTATAACTTAATAACTTGATTTGTAGAAAGAAACAGGGTCAGCTTTAGCGAATGTGGGAGCTCATTTAGATTTATCAGCGTTTTCTAGCTGGGAAGAATTAGCATCTTTAGGGTTGGATCGTTTGAAGTCTGCCTTGATGGCGCTTGGCCTGAAATGTGGAGGGTAGTTGATGCATCAATTTAAAATGAATATGTCATGTTTTTTTTTTTTCAGAACTTTAGAGGAAAGAGCCCAGCGATTATTCTCAACCAAAGGAAAAGGCTCTCTAGATCCTTCCCTCATGACTAAAAATAAATCTGGAAAGGCCAGTAAAGAAAAAGAACAGTTGAGACAAAGAGAGTTGGCATGTTTAGAAGCCCAAATTTATAGGTATGTCCTCAGATTTTATTATTGTGCTTATGTAAAAAATGTGTATAGATTAGCAGAATTGGTCGCTCCCCAACGCGCTGCGACTAAAGAAAATGTACAAAGAAAACAAGCTCGCACTGATGGTGAAAGAGATGACAGCGAAAATGAAGAAAGTGAAGAGGAAAGTCCAGATGAAGCTGATGATGATGTACCATACAATCCTAAAAATTTACCTTTAGGGTGGGATGGCAAGGTGATTTTATATATTTTTTCAGAAAACAAAGTTAATGTGTCACTTTTAGCCCATTCCGTATTGGTTGTATAAGCTTCATGGGTTAAATATTAGCTACAATTGTGAAATTTGTGGAAACTATGTTTATAAAGGCCCTAAAGCTTTCCAAAGACATTTTGCAGAGTGGAGACATGCTCATGGCATGAGATGTTTGGGAATACCAAATACAGCACATTTTGCAAATGTAACTCAGATCGAAGATGCTCTAGCTTGTAAGTTATTATTGGTAGTTACTTTTTTGATGTTCACATATTAATTATTTTAGTGTGGGAAAAACTAAAAGTGCAGAAGCAAGCTGAACGTTGGCAACCAGAGACAGAAGAAGAATATGAAGATTCCCAGGGAAATGTGGTGAACAGAAAAACATATGAAGATCTTAAAAGACAAGGTTTATTGTAAAATAGTAACTAATTGTGTATTTTAGATTAGATTGTTTAATTCTGTCATATCTTTTATAACAGGTAGTAATAAATAGCGCAACAATTTGCTTGTTTTTATCTTCAGGTTTTTTAACATTGATAACAACGTATTTCGTGTGGCGATATATTTAGTTTTAACAATGCGACACCTTGAAATTTAAAGTATGGTACAGCTAGTGCCAATTTTTTTTCAAGCTCTAGTGTATTTTAAGTTTTAACGACATATTCGTTTTGGTTGGTAACCTTGTTTCCATTGCGCAATTTGTTTTGTATTTGACTTTGACAGATAAATAAGTGATTTTGGATTATCCAGTTCAGTGTATCAGTATAATCAGTCAACGAGATTAAAACAAAGAAATAGCTTTGCTGCTTTGGGTATTCCTTTTATATCATGCTTTTGTTACAATGGATGTGTTGAACGCGGTTTATGACTTAAACAGTGGAATTTTTGAAGCAGCTTTCAAGGCAACTTGGCTGGAAGATGTGCTCACACATTTTGTGTCTCATGAACCGTACCAGGTAAAAAATCCAAAGATTTTTTAATTGAAGGATATTTTTTAACCATTTTTTTTAATTGGGTCATACTTTATGTATTTAAATCATGTTGCTATTTAATGGGGTTTTCAGGTCCTGCCTGTTCTCCTGGCGGGTCTTTTAGCCATAATAATTTCTGTAACATATTTTTGTATTCGAAAATGTCATCGAAAAGGTATTGTATTTATTTGTCATTATTTCAATGTATTAAATATATTTTATCGTTTGCTTAGCTCTTTTTGCTCGAGAATTAAAGTCTCAAGAACAAGGCACACGTTTCAGGAAAAGAGACAAGGCGTTATTTTATGGCCGAAAAATGTTGCGTAAAGTTAAAAATATTTCAGGTCAAGTTAGAAATTCAGGCCAGGGTAGAAAAAGAAAAATGGTAATGAAATTCGCTCGGAGGATACTGCAGCTAAAGAAGGAAACGGATACAGAACAACTGAAGGTATTTACATAAACCAAATGCGTTTATCAGAGCGTTACATAAGAACGTGTGAAAGTCATGATATGCGAGGCCATGTTTTGAAACATCGTTTTAATAGTATAAAATTAAAAACACTTGTTTGTTATCATTACTGACTTTTTAATTTTGATTACGTGAATACGACACCAATTTAGCAGTGTTTTTAATTTTCATAATTGAATTACTTGTTTTTATTTTTCATAAATTACATTTAATAATAATAACCTTTTCTTGTGTAGGTTTTGGAACCTCCAGTTGAATATTTGCAAGAAGAGATGTTGAGTGACGATAGAATGCCACCAGATGCATTATATATGTTACAGAGTATTCGAGTTTTTGGACATTTTGAGAAACCAGTTTTTTTGAAACTTTGTAAACATACGGAAATTATTAATATTGATGCTGGAGCTTATTTGTTTAGAATAGGTAAAACACAAAATTCAAAAATTGTTACATACATTTTTAATCTTATCTTTCACCTAATTTTGAAATTATGTGTGGGATTGCCTGTTCCTGATAAATACACTCTTTTTTTATGTCGAATGGAATAGGTATGTAGTAATGTATAAAATTCATAAAAAGAAAAAAAGTGAAAAAACAAAAACAGTTATAGGCCACATTTTCTGCTAATTGAATTTCATTGCTTGTTATAAATTTTCTTTTATTAAAATAACGTAATTTTTGGCCATGGTTTGGAGTTGGTACTGCAAAGTTTGTAATAAAAAGTGGCAATTCGCCCAATGGACTCAATTACTATACTTCTTTAGCGTACACTCAGAAAGTAAAAACTAGTTGAAAGTCACAGACAAAACTTGCTTACAAAGTGGATTTGCAACAAAAGCCTATACTTTGTCAAAATTTTGAAACTTTAGCTACTACATTTAAAAACAGAACGACAACTAAGGTTTCTCAGGTGATTTTTGGACACATTTTCATAATCCACTTACGACGTAATTAAATAATAAAATCATATGTCATATCCACTATTTTTGAGGATTTTACATTAACATTGCATTCATGATATATATGCGGTTGATCACCAAAGAATGTTATTGAATATGAAAACTGAACGAACCGTTTTTGAGGTAATCGTTGAACAACTAAAAAAAAAAGAGTGCGTCGAGCCAGGGACGCACGGATGGAGTTTTAACTCTGCATTGTCAATTTATATAAATTAAACACATATACGCGGCGAAGTCATTAATTTTCTCTTAAAAAATTAAAAACTAAAAATATGTTGCATTTGTATTTTTTGACAAAATGATGATTAACGTTGATGATTGGGTTAATTAAAGGGTTTCGTGTATTGTCAATTGTTGTTTGTTATAAAATATACCTTTTTTTATTTATTTATCATATAGAAATTTCATAATTAATTATTATAATAATATTGTTTTAAAAAAAATTAAAGTACAATGTGTAAAGTAATAAGTAAATGTTTACAAATGCAAGAGTAGTATTTATAACTTATTCGATTTAAAATACAAATTACTGTTCAATCATAGCCTTATCGCCTTCAGTATCTTTATCCCTATCATTTAATACAGGCGTATAGTGACTAAAATGACTGATATAAATATCAGTTCTTAAATGAGTAATAAAGCGTGTGAAAACGGTATCAATTGTTGTACCTAATTTAGTCGTTTAGTCATATAAAGGATATTATTTGTTAATTTCTATATTAGAAAGCTTATTATCAAATTTTCTGATTAAAGTATTTGCAGATATCTACAAAAAAAATCAACATTACTTACTTAAATTTGTTGTGACTTTTCTCAGTTTCTGGTGGTTCACTTTCACTACTTGGTATCATGAAAAAAATATGTACATACACAACAGTACAACAGTAAAAAGCAAACTATGATGTAAAAGGGAGGTTAGGACATAATATTCTTTCTATGATTACTAGATAGCGGATGGCCGTCGGGTTAGGCAAGGTCAAACTCGGTACGGCTCGTACGGGATGGAAATTCATTACAGTTACGGGCTGCACTTCGTTTATTTGAGAATGGAATAACGTTGCTTCGTTGCAGTCTGCTGTTAATGTCCGTTCTCATTTACTTAATCGTTTTACTAATTACGTTTTCATTAATTGTATTTATGGAATAAGTGACGATTAGATTCAGTGATTATCACCCGCCCGGCGATCCAGCGCGCCATGATTACATTTGTGGCGGCACAATAATAGCTGGGTAAGCGAAGTAAATATCAGTATGTTCAGACTCAGTTCAGACTGGTGCCAGTGTCGGTGTCGAGTTCGACATCCTATTCCCACGCGCGTTGTATACGTGTTGTATAATACGAAAAGAAAGGAGTTAAAACTCCAATACTGCATATTTTTTAACATCAGGAATTTTAATATATAAGAATATAACTCAAATACAAATAATATGGTTACTTTCTAAACCAAAGTTAGTATCTTATAATTTCAAAAAAATCTAATGTTAATCTCTAAGATAATTTGTGAAATTTATCCTCCAGATTTATTTATCTGTGTATGTAATGTGAAAAGGAAGTAGTGTTATTCATTTCATTTCATTTGACATTCACGACATGAAACAATGTTGTTTTACAAAGATTCGTTTATTTTTTAGAAGCGCATATTTTCAAAAGATGTGTTAAAAAACTAGTCTACGAAAGTTATCTCATAAACGACAATGTGATTTGTCTTTTACATTTACGCATAGATATCACAATTGATATATTGAGCCCATCAAAAAGTTGATGGCGTCATCCCATCAAATTGTTAAATAAATCTTTATTAAAAACGACCCTTATTTGCGCGCATTAGTTGTGATTTTTTTTCATAATGACTGGTTAAAATTTTATGAATTTTGTGCATTATTTTTTCACAACTATTTTTGAATTATAAATTTTTGCAGTTCTAGATATACGTGAGCCCCAAACTGTGGTGCGCACGCGTAACTAGATTTTAATGCAAACTAAATAGTCTTCTAACTTATCTCTGTTTTCGTAATATAACTGGTTATAAAGGACATTTGTAGGTGATTCCGACGAAAACGTATACATAGTTCAAAGTGGCAAACTCAATGTTTTTATAACTTCAAACGACAGCACAAACTTATCACTTAAAATAGTAAAACCAGGAGAATCTGTTACGTCTCTTCTTAGTTTTACTGATGTCTTAACTGTGAGTGTCGGAAAATGCGAAAACTTGTATAATGTTGTGGTAATTTTAGGGTTACACAAATCCTTACAAAACTGTTTCAGCCAAAGCAGTTGAAGACTCGACAATAGTTAAACTACCAATGTCCGCATTCCAAGAAATTTTCCGTGAATATCCAGATATTTTCATTCGTGTGGTACAAGTAATTATGGTACGCTTGCAACGCGTTACTTTCACAGCGCTTCATCAGTATCTTGGACTGAGTGCTGAACTAGTCAAACAAGGACCAAAAACCAAAAACAGTAAAAATCCGTTAGCTACAAATTCTCCAATGAAAAAAAAACGCGAAGAAGTAAAAGAAACTTTTAGTTCCGTAGATAACGCATCGCAACCAATCCCAGTTCCTGGACATAGAAGAAGTAGGTCCAGCTTGGATTCAAAGTCTTTTTCACCAAATACCCCAGATATGGTTGCTGACGCAGAAACAGCAACAGCAAATGTGGTATTACTTTGTCGTTGGTTTAGCATCGCAATAACAATAAGAATTGTAGACTCCTGACGTCGCGAATTTGCAAAAAAAGAGACACTCCGTTGATAACATTGACGAAGATACTCTGATTGAAATTGCAACTGACGCGTTTGTTAAGGAATTGGGACTCGAAGATGATGATATGTTGAAAGGAAAAATTGAAATTAGAGAAGTTGCTGCTGGTACTTACTTAATGAAAGAATATTCTAACAAAGTGCGTATTAAACGAGTATAATTTTCGTTTAATGTTGGATTCTAGGACATTGCTCTAGTCTTCGTTATTTCTGGAGCCTTAATGGTATCTCAAAAAGTGACGGAAGGAGATGATGAAGTTCACATGTTTACAGCTTACCATGGAGAATTTGTTGGAGGTCTTGCTGTATTAACGGGCGAACCAAGTTTCTTCACAATCAGGGCTAAACACTTCACCCGAATTGCTTTACTTTCGAAAAACGCATTCTATGGGTTAGTTTTACCCAGCTTTTTTTATTCACGATTAATTTTTCTTTTCATGTAAGAATGATGAAAGATCACCCAAATATCGTCCTTTACGTCGCACATTCAGTTGTTCAGAGGCTGTCACCTTTTGTCCGTCAGGTAGATTTTGCTCTAGATTGGTTGTTTATAGAGTCGGGACGTGCGGTGTATCGACAAGACGACGAAAGCGACTCTACGTATATTGTTTTGTCTGGTCGCTTGAGGTCTGTAATTACTCATAAAAATGGTAAAAAGGAATTGGTTGGTGAATACGGCAAAGGTGACCTTATTGGAGTGGTATGTGGTGTACAGAGCAATAAATTGTGCGTTGTAAAAAATTAAAATTTGTAGGTGGAAATGGTAACGCATACTAAAAGGAGTACAACTGTGATTGCTGTGAGAGACTCTGAACTGGCTAAACTACCAGAAGGGCTGTTTAATGCCATAAAGTTAAAGTACCCTATTGTTGTCACAAGACTGATTAATTTGTTAGGACATAGGATTCTAGGTAAGTAACTTTTTAATTAACTACATGACCCGGTTTATAGAATCTCAGTTAAATATTTGATTGCGATTACATTTGTAACAAGTGCCACGTGACCGACTCTACGCCAGTCAGACGTCGCTAAACGCCTCTTTAAATCTTTCCTAATTTAATCTCAGTTAAACTATTACATACAAAGGTGGTGTTAATTTTTAATGGACTTTACGTTATGCGGTACCCTAAATCCAATCTCTATGTTTTAACAGGTTTAATGAAAGTCTTGGACAAATTAAAAAAAAGTTTCAACTATTAATTAATTTAAAAAAACGCGCAAAAGTGTTATTCATAAACCCAACAAAAATCACTCATTGGTCAGAAATCGTTGTTCTTACCTTTTATATTGACCACGATTTTCTGTTCAATTTATGAATACATCTACAACTTAATTACGCCAGACAGATGATCCTAGCTACCCGTGTGAAGCCGGGCCGGATTGTTAGTATTGGTATAAAAATAATTTTTATTTACTAAAAATAAATACGTGTAGGGTTAGTTAAAAGTCCCAGAACAGTCAATTGTCTTTGTTATTTTCCAAGCGATTTTTTGTTAATTTGACATGCACAAACTAAACTTAACTTCTTTTACACTTACGTTTTATTTGGAAATGACTCTTAACTTAAGGTTTTTGAATAACATGACCTGTGTATTTTCTCATTTTCGAATGCAGAAGAAAAAAATACATTAAAAAATATGATTGCCAAGGTTTTTTTTGCACTAAAAATTTGATAAAAATATCAAAACAATTTTAAATGAAGAGATGTGTAATCTAATCTTGTCACGTTTTCATGAAAAATTCATTTCCTTAATTTTCCTCACAGAGTTGGGGTTTGCAACTTCTTGAAGTTGTTCTTCTTAACACCAGAACTTCCTTTGTGTTTTTTTTTTGTTTTTTTTTTACAAAAACCTCCTTGAATTGTGGAGTATCGAGGTTATTTAATGGAATGCTACACTGGACATCATCCTGCACAAAACTCTGTTGAAGTTGTTTGTGGTGTTCGTTTCGAGGCAAGATGTCAGTAATTACTGTTTAGATTGACCTTGAGGAGAATTGGCCTTCCGTCGATGTGTTTCGATACCAAGATGCTGGTCCAATTGATTTTTTTTTCCGACAGTAATCTATAATAAAACAATGATACATAATTTCTTTTTGGTATATGTGTGATTAAGGTCATTGAGTCCATCATTTTGTTAGGTGCCGAAAATAACAATTTCAACAAACAATTAGGTTTTACTAATAGTAGTCAATCATCGATGGAAATAAGGGGTCTTAATCATTTTTCAATACTTGTCGGTTTGTCACACATTGTGCAGAAAACAACCCTGCCATCGTAAGTAAAACACTTATGTGACTTAATCCATTTCAGTGCACTCCTTGAACACCCAACTTTCGGAATTTTGCAGTTTCTGTGATACAAGAACTATCTCAACGAAAGCAAACTGGAATAGCCAGAACTGATTCACTAAATTTTTACATCCACCTTGCGGGAAGTAGGGAAATTGATCATATTGTACATTTCATAACAAAAATAAATAATTCGGCTTAAAATTGCCACCTGCAGATTAGCGAAATGTTTATTGGAAGCCCTTTATAAACTGCTATCATTACCATAATCCTAAGTGATTTATTGAGAACTTTCGACAAACACTTTTCAAAAGCGGAAGTCGGTTTTCACTAACTGGTCTTTACTTTAAACTCTTATGGCCGAAATTTTAACCTTTAAAAGTATTAACAAATTAAACATGTCAATCAAGAAACAACCATGTAAAAAAATACCAAATAATATAATCGGATTTATGCAGTATCATTGGTACCTGCACACTTACGTGAGTTTACTACCTGCCCTGCTGAAGCAACACTCGAAAAATCATTAAGAAAAAAAAATTGCAAAAAATGTGAATTATGTATAAAGTAGACAATTATACACAGTAAAAATCCAAAATATACAGTTATATATACGTATAATATGCCGTTATATATGTATGGGTATACGAAAAGTAAAAATTACTTAATTGAAAAGAGGAACAATAAAAAAAACACCTGTACAAGTTTGAGTTCGATATGCCCAATAGTTTAGAATATGCAAATATGCTTTTGCCCGTGTCTATTTATTACAGCCTAAATTAACATTATCACTGCGTTCAACGTTAACTTGATTGTGTGTTTTTACTTCCCAAACGTAAGCTAAGGAAGTATTGTAATAGGGTACATCCCTCGAATGGCTACTTTTCGTGTTTCCTCGACGTTTCATGACCCATGCATTATGAAAAAGTATGTCGTGCGTTTCCGGCTGTTCTCTATTGTGTTGTCTGTGTCGTTATTTCTTACACAGACAATCTCCGCAATTACTGGACTGCTTGTTGCCAAATTTTATGAATATTTTAGGAATGTCGTATAGATGCAGGTCAGAAAATTTGTCGGATCGTTACACCAACAATTTGATGATGTTATCTCAAAATTTTCCATGGTAAATGCTGTTTAAATTTTATAAAATAATCTGTACTTGTGGTTTTGAATATCCGCCTTGAATTTTTGACCGTAGACATCCAGATTTACCTAAAAAAACTCAATTGTTTACTAATATTTTATACGAACATAAGAACCACCGACGTTCCCGAACTGTTCACAGCTTGGTCGATCAGCGCGCGGTACACTACGGTTAGTATTCTCTATCTATATTGTTTTTTGTGAATAACTGGATTTTTTTTTTTTTTTTCAGGAGAAGATGTGTCTAATAAATTATATGAGACCATTTTTTTATTGCAAAAAACCATAATATTTCTCAGCGTTTATTCTTTAGCATTGCATGAAGTTAGGGTCATTTCCAGTGTAAGAAGTGCAAAAAAAAATTAAAACGTTATCAGTAAATTGTATCATATATACATGACAATTTAAAGAAGGCACTTTGAAAGTAATAAAAATTGATTACTCCCGGACTTTTAACTAATCCTATATAAACATGTCTATGTTCCACCTTGTAATTTTATACGTTATCACTTATAAGGATATATAATTTTAAACTTAAGTAAATATTTTTTCACAGGTTCTTGGAAAAAGCCTAGCATAACCATGAACACCCCTAGCAGTTCGGCAGTAGACAGCCGCCCTTCGCAAATGAACTTTTCAACAGTAGCAATAGTGGCCGCTTCCGACGATGTACCATTAACGGCCTTTACATACGAACTGTATCATTGTTTATGTGCCATTGGTACTATTTCATTGTGTCTTTTAAGCTTATTTTAACCACGGTATTTCAAGGACCAACATTAAGACTGACTTCGGACATAATCCGTAAAATTTTGGGTCCTTCGATAATGGATCCCAACAACGAATATCGCTTAACATCATGGTTGGCTCAACAAGAAGACCAACATAAAATTTCATTGTACCAATGCGATTTAACAGTCAGCGTTTGGACGCAAAGGTGTATTCGACAAGCGGATTGTATTTTAATTGTTGGTTTGGGTGAAAACCATCCAAGTTTAGGAAAAGTGGAAAAGGAAGTGGAGAGGTTAGCTATGAGAACTCAGAAGGAACTAATTTTGTTACATAGAGAAGACGGTAAACCACATAATACGGTTGGTTGGATCAATATGAGGAGTTGGGTGTCATCGCATCATCATATCTTGAGCCCCAATAGAATGTTTTCGAGAAAATCTCTGTATAGAATAGTAAGTTATTATAAAACCCGTTTTGAATCAGTATTGTAGACTGCAATGTTAATTTATAAAGATTCAGATATTCCATTACAGCATACTTCACTATTGTTTGTAATTTGGCATTTTTTTCTTATGCTTTAGAATGAACTATATTCAAAAGTGTGTCAATCGGAACCCAACATTCACTCGGACTTTTCCCGGTTAGCAAGGTGGTTAACGGGTAAGTCAGTCGGACTCGTTTTAGGAGGAGGCGGAGCTAGAGGTTCCGCCCACGTCGGTATGATCAAAGCAATTCAAGAAGCAGGAATACCTATAGACATGGTGGGCGGCGTCAGTATAGGTGCATTCATGGGAGCTTTGTGGTGCCGTGAAAGAAACATCACCACTGTAACACAAAAGGCGAGAGAGTGGTCTAAGGTAACCAACTACCGAGCAACCAAATTTTTGAAACACTGAAGTACTAGTCATACTTGTATGTAAGATTGATTGGTTTACTGTGCACATAACAACTAGGTGGTTCAGCTCCAAGATAACAATTCCAAAATTGATTTCATGAACTCAAAAGTCATCTGTTTCTATGTTGTAGAAAATGACGCAATGGTGGCGCCAAATTCTGGATTTGACCTACCCAATGACGTCGATGTTTAGCGGTCGTGATTTCAACCAAACTATTAAGGCTACATTTGGAGACACGTACATAGAAGATCTCTGGTTACCATATTTCACAGTTACTACAGATATAACAGCATCTTGTATGAGACTACACTCCCACGGTAAGTTGCTCGATGTGTGGCGAATCGTCTTTGCCCAGTCCTTGGTTTGCATTGTTTTTCTCGTTCATCACGGACATTTAGCACCTTCATTAGATTTCGTTTTCATTGTTTGTTTTTGTTGCATCCACTTTTTTATTGTGTGTGAGATGAATGTATAAATTGTGATTGGTTAACCTATATGTTTTGCACTAAAAACACAAATTTTCTTTTCTTGATTGTAAATAAAATCAGAGACAAGTACTTTGTACGATGGTATGTATATTAGATAGGGAAAAATGTGAAAAGCTTATTTTAATCATTCGCACACCGTTAAAAAGATGGCATTAGAATGGTGATCTTGATAATGGTGTTTTTGTTTTTTTTTTTTTTTTGTAATTCGTCGATTTTTATTTTGTAGAAAAAAGGAGATTATAAGCGGTGGTGGGAAGGGGATGTATGATTAATACATGCTACCAATGGTAATAACTCCATGATAAAAATAGGTGAAAATTATATCAATACTGTTTTGATTTATCGATTGACGAACGATAGTTTTTTATTACTTGGTACCATTTACATCCTATTAGAAGTAAATCTATAACCATTTTTTATAGAATTTCCAGTCACCATATTAATGCCAAAAATAAAAACAAATGATGACACGGAAATTTAGTGAATCGAAAATAATATTTTTTACTTGGGTTGTTAAAAAGTATGGAACTGGTTAATACTGTATTACATACATAGGCGGAAAGTATTCCATTCCTGTCGAGAGAATTATAATTTACCGAGAGGCAGCCTTGAAGTGAACTAGTTCTAAAGACACAGGAAAGGTACTTTTACCGAGGTTTGTATACTATTTTATTCAGAATCATTTAATAAAACAAGCATCATTATAGTGATTTAAAAAAACTACCTTCATAATGTTACGAATTATTTTGGTAAAGTGTTAACACTTCGTAAGCGCTGCAGAATTGATATTTTATTAAATTAATTCTAGATACTTTGATACTCACACAGTTTAAGTTGACAGTGGCGCCCCTAGTCGGAAATGGTTTCATTACTGAGCGCTTTCAGGCTTTTCCGACCCGTTGAAAAGTGTATCCGTGATTCGTTGACTTTTATTTTTTATTCTAATACAATACTTGGTTTTTTGAAACGCACTGCCATAGTTGTCGTTATCCTGTGGCCCATTTTTACTTCCCGCGTGTAATCTAAAAAAGTATTATAATAGAGCCCATCTGGCTACTTTCATGTTTTCTCGACGTTTCATGCCCCCCACGAAAAAAAAATGAAATTGGCAATTCGGCCGATGGACTCGATTACTATACTTCCTTAGCTTACCCTCGGGAAGTAATAAGTTTCCCGATTCCATCTGTTTGTCTGTCTGTTTGCCGTCTGGATCGACTTTTATTACACAGATAATCTCCAAAACTACTGGACCAATTCTTGGCAAGTTTTACATGTATTTGACTATATTGTGTAGATGGTAGAACACTAACCAAAATTTGTCTAATCATCCCCACTAAAAATATTATGACGTCAAAAATTTTGCATTGTAAATATAAAATAACATACTCCTACATTTGTAATTTATGATCCCGTGTTGAGTTTTTACTCTCAAACAATTCAAATAAAAACTTTATAACATTCTACAATTTAAGGTTGAAACTGATAAAACCTAATGCCGTGAAATATTGCAAACGTCTTAAAAGTTTATCGTCAGCAGGGTAAATCGTTAATCAAAATTTATCTGTTTATTCCCCCCTCCCCAGTTTATGACATCCTCTCAAAATTTTACCAAATAAATCATATCCAAAATGTGCAAAATATGAGTCTCTATTTGTTGTTTATCAGTGTAATAATGTTTTAGAATGTACTTATACAAGTGACTCAAAAAAAAAAGAATTAAATAAATTGAGAACGGCTAGCCCTATTTTCCAGAAAATTTGGGAATACAGCACTGTTATTATTAATATTACACTGCGCTTATCCAAAGTAATATATGTCTCTTTGCTAAAATGTTGATCACGCTATTACAAAATTTTGTAATGGAAAAATTCACTTGACACATATGCATAGCATGCTTTTTTACCTTCACTTTAACACTACACCAATATATCTTTATTTTAACTTGCATAAGAAAATAAAATTTGCAAAATCATATTTTACAATTGTTTGGGAAAGCTGGATACTTTAACGGCGAGGGAAGTTCTGTCTAAATAATCTTAGACCAATTTTTTATTACGCAGTTATTACTGCGTTACTCAGTTAATAAATACTACAATGATGATAATCTAAGTTCATCTGTTTTTAAGTTATTGCTTCTTAATTCTGCATCTTAAGCGTATCGATTTTTTTTTATATGCAGTGGTATACCTATATTGACATTTAAGACAGTAAAACTAATTTCAACATGAACAGTTGATGACAAAAATTCGAAGAATTAGAAGTGGCAGTAAATTGTTTCCAATGTATTTAATCGTTCCATACTTTTAGTCGATTCTCTAACAAAGAACGCATGCTTTTTTATTAAACTTTGGACTCAGAGATTATTTTATTACTTAACTAGTTTCTACTTTATCCTTTCTGTGTAATATTACTTCTGCATGTTGCTATCTGCAGTATAACAAAAGTATGGAGTTAAATCCCAAAGCTGAAAATAAACTTCTAAATATTAAATTAATAATTTTTAATTTTAATAGTGCATTTTCGTACATAACATATAAAAAGGGGTTTATTGTATAAAAAATAATGACTTCGTAACAAAACAACATCAGCATCATCAAGACCAGCTGCAGAATCTTTAAACCGCATTTGATCTAACAATTGTTCAATCAACGAATATGGTATTCAGTTAAAATTCCAATTGATCCTTACAATCATAATTTGGAAAGTAAATAAACCTCGGACAACTACAAATCTGTTTAAGTAGAGCGTAAAGTTAAATTTTCAGAAACCCTTGAAACGATTGTGTTGTAGGTAAGCAGAGAAAAATGTTATGCCTCGGTGGGAGTCGAACCCACGTCTCTATGCTTTCCGGGCTTATCACTCTAGTTATACTCAATCCAAATGTTCGTACGTGTAAAACACTTGAATTTGTTTTGCTTCATTTTTCTTCGAGGGGATTTAACTCTAGACTTGTGCTACATTCATCTTCTAAGTATGTCGTGTGAACGCCCACTTAATAAAGCTTACAAAGTATTCCGTGTCATCATATATAATGTGACATTCATGGCATACATCTTAAAAATACCTCATATCAGTCCAAAAGCTTATGTGTCAACCTGTCGCTTTGTTTTGTATTGATATACATTTTGTGCATATAATGTTTGTCCATAACAGGAAACTGTATTTATTTATTAACAATGTAAAACAGCTAACGAAAGGACCCTGTAAAAAAGGCATGTAGTTTAGTGAGCGCATTTCCGTAGGCTCTCTGTGGCGGTACGTTCGTGCATCTATGTCTCTATCTGGATACATGCCACCTCTATGTGATCCTGTCGATGGTCATCTACTTCTAGATGGAGGCTACACTAATAACCTTCCAGGTAAAATTATCATTAAATATGCACTGATTCTATGTTATGTGTGGTGTGACAACTAGTAGAGGTAAGTTACTGTTGAATTAACTAGTCGGATCGATCTACTTATACACAAAAAGGTAAACCAATCACAATCATGGTGTGTGGGTATGATGGAGGAACTAATCATATTGGTGGAAAATACCAACTTTTATTATATTATTAAAGCTTTCTATTTTCTCCATGCTTCATTATTATGTTTTCTTATTTGAAATTAAATTCGTCCGTTGTCGAAGTCATTTTGTAAGTGGTTACAGAATGACTTATGTAAACTATGTGAAAATTTGGTAAATTTAATTGGCAGGTCATTTGTGGAGATATGTGAGGGCCAGTATGTCAATTGTTGGCATTTTTCCGCCACTCTGTGATCCTTTAGATGGACATTTGTTAGCTGATGGGTGTTACGTCAATAATGTACCAGGTAATCTGTATTAGGTTGTTTTTTTTTTTTATTTTGGATAACCATCTTATTTTTATATTGACAGGTAGGTATCAATTTTTTTATTGGTAATGTAATAAAACAGGTCAATATTTAACTGTTGATTAGAATCTTCGAACGATCACTTAACGCACTGTTACTAAGCACGTTATTAACTCCGCAATACCAAAAATTTCAACATATTGTGTACTCGTATTAACAGCTGCGCTGTCGTCTTCTCGGATTACATTCTTTTTTTATGCAGTGTAAAAACTGAATCCCTAGCACAATCACAAGACATGCAGTCCGTATTGAAAAATATACTTGATATCTTACAAGGAAACCACAAGTGTTGTAATTCCCGGTTTTTTTTCCTGAAAGTGTAAAAATTTGATTCCAGGGATAGAAATAAACTACTTGAGGCCATAATAAGTTGCCACTTTCGATATACGAAAAAAAAAACAACTTGCTAACGCCATCCTCTTTATTTAAGTACTCTGTAGAATAGAATCGAGGTTACAATTTGGATTAAATACACGATTTTCGCAGGGGTAAAACCTATCCCATTGGCAAAGATTTTTCTGTCCTTTTCTTATCCAAGACGAAAATGGCAGACTATTTTGGTTTCTAGTAGTTTCTTGTACTCCCTGGAATCCAGTTTTCATATCTTCAGAAAAAAAAAACAAGAGTTAAAACATGTGTGGTTTCCTTGTTAGCTAATTGAAAACTTTCGCTTCAACAACACCATCTAGTATAATATGAAAAACTTTTAAGTATGCAAATATTATCTTTTTAATTTTTAAATCTATATTTAGAAGCATATTATTAACTTAGTTGTGGCCCTTAGTTTCGTTATAAATTTGTAACGGTACTAATTTGTTTTTCATATTTTTTTATCTTGTGAAGCCCTCAAGATTTGTTACTGAGTGTAGCAATCTTAGCACTGTTTTTTTTTTGTGTTATTTATTTTGCTGGCTGCCATGAAGTTCTCATACTAATGACCTCACCTCAATACAGCTGACGTCATGCGAGGTCTTGGTGCTAACCACATCTTAGCTATCGATGTTGGTTCAGTTGATGACCAAGATCTTACTAATTATGGTGATGATTTATCTGGATGGTGGCTTTTGTGGAAACGTTGGAATCCATTTACCAATCCAGTTAAAGTACCAAATTTGCCTGATATACAATCTAGACTTGCATATGTGAGTTGTGTGAGACAGTTGGAAGTAAGTTTCGTCTCATATTATTCAAACATATTTATAATTTTTCGTACCAATTTCTCCAAAAGGAAGTAAAAAGCAGTGATTATTGTGAATACATCCGTCCCCCTATCGACAAATACAAAACCTTGCAATTTGGAAGTTTTGATGAAATTCGCGAAGTCGGATATCAGCACGGAAAATCGTATTTTGAGGAGAAGTTAAAAGCGGGCAACTTTCCAATCTTCAAGTCTACAACTGTACCAGGGAAGGATTCTGAGAATATACTTTCAGAATATACTTTCACAGATTTAGCACAAATGGTGTGTAAAGTATCAAGGTAAAAAAATACATAAAAGTGTCATCAGAAGTGGCAGTAATATACAATTAATATAATTTTTAGGCCGTATGAGGAGTCGTCCAGTTCGAATTCGTCGGATGATGAATATGAAGATGGTCACGACGGTTATGCCTCAGAACCGACAGTTTGTCTGATGGATGTAAGTGTATTACCCGTTTTATGTTTGAGAGTGCACGGTTTTATCTGTTCTTTTTTGTTTTTATATCTTTAGTTTCAACGGCAACTAAGCTGGCATGGGTATTCTAGTTCAGGGAATTTTTAATTTAGTTAGGACGGTAATTTTATTTTGCTTTTTTTCTCTGTGCTTGTGTGTTGTTTTCGCCTGTCAAAAATTAATTTTAATTACATTTGTTTTGTAGAGTACAGATAAGATGCTGCACATGAGGAGAGCAGGCGGTTCTCTTTCATTGTCCGAAAATGAAATTGAATCAGAAGTTGAATTTGATATGCAACATAGAAAAAGCGAAAAGGAGTTACGTTTTTCTAGTCTCTAGTACTTTGAAATTGTCATTGTATATAAACTTTAGTTGTTATTCTAGATCATTTAAGGCGGACGATCATTTTGTCACTTGTTTCTTCATTCAGAAAATCAAAAGACTAGTATTCATATTATTGATAATCATAGAGTAGTAATAGTATAATATAATGTAAGAATTGCTAACCTGAAATAATTGCCTATGGAATTTTCGCGCCCATATTATCCGTGATGACGTGATCTCTATATTTTTTTAAAGATAATAAAAAAATTATTACACTTACTCATACTTTAATAAAATAAATTCTTTGTTTACATATATTCCACATAACATGTACAGGTGTGTGTTTAATCAAGATATGAAGATTCAACGAAATGCTTAAGTAAACGTTGCGCATTCTATAAAAGCTAACTATTTACACCTTACTTAATATTTGTCACCAACTATAGTCATTTAAGTGAGGATCAATTATGCTTAATAAACTTCCTATTAATTGGACCGACCCAGTAACCAGTAGATCATACTCTTCTCTATTTGAAAGAAATGTAATTCCTTGTTCCACGGTCGGAAATGTTTCACAAATCTCCGCTTCTTTCCGCCCTTCTATTTTTAACCACAACTGTTTGTGAAAACTACATTTTTGCAGCAATTCATCTATGGACTTAAAATATGTATTGTCTGGAATACTAAAAGATAGAACCCTCTCGCCGGCAGTAACACGATAATGCTTTAAAACAACTAACTCACCAGAATTACTGAGAGCTTTAATAGGAGTTGCAACATTCGTGACAAATAAAATAGTGTCAAATTCACAACTCTGTAGTTGCTTTAATAACTTTTCTGCATTTCTGTCCCCAGTAACGTTAAACATCAACGCTTTCTTCCTCTTTGAGTGTTTTGTTATGTCTTTAAACCAGCTAGCACATATGATAATACTTTCAAGAGTATGTGCACCGTCTAAGTAATAACTAAAATTGAAAAACTTCTTTTTCGGTAAAAATTTTGACAAAAATTCTTACGATATTGTTCTGTCATGTTTAACTTGGAATCTTCCAGGCCACCTACAGTTGTGAAGAGCTCGTTCAGTGATTTCATTTGACATAGATTGAGTTAAGTTGTTATTGTGTTCTGAAAATACTCATTAAGTTTTAAATATGTAGGTATACTTTATGCCGTTACTTATTGCAAGCCACGCCCTACACAGAGCTACTGCTAAACTAACGTTAAGATTTAAGATGTGGGGTGGACAAGACGATGTGTTTGGCGTAAATTTAATATCTGAATTTTCTATCACTTCAAGTTGACACTGCAATGTTTTTTTGTAGATACATTGAGTGAAAATAATGAATTACCTTTTTTTCGATGCTACGTTCTTTGAGAGTCTTCATAGCCGTCTCTGGCTGAGGAACTGTAAAAGCTCTACAGCCTTCTTTCATAATCCCCCCTTTATTCCACGCTATTTTTTCTATAGTGGGTCCTAATAACTTCACGTGATCAATCCCTAGAGACGTTATGCCTATTACAGGAACTTTCCTTTAAGGTAAAAGTTTGAAACAAAACATTTTGGCGCTTAGTTAACATACCTTAATACGTTAGTGCAATCAAACTCTCCTCCAATCCCCACTTCAATAATAGCCACATCGACTTTTTTCTCCAAAAAGACAAAAAAAGCCATTATGGTTAAAAACCGAAAATAAAGAGGCATGTCATGGTTATCACTCTGTAAAAATGAGTTTTTAAAAAAACGTAAAAGAATGAGTAGGTACTACACCTTTTGCTGGTCTAGAGCAGAGTAAATTTTCCAAAAGTACTTTACAAAATCTGCTTTGCCTATAGGTACTCCGTTGATACGAATTCTTTCTCGCACTTCTATTAAGTGAGGTGAGGAGAAAAACCCTGTTCTGTATCCATGCTCCCTTAGAATTTTTTCAGAGAACGCACATGTCGTTCCCTTCCCTTTAGTTCCGGCAACATGGATTACCGATAGTTCATCCAATTTGTCCAAAGATAACCCAGCCCTTAATTTTAATAGAATCATCACTTAAATAAATATTTCGATTCATTATTGATTTGTACTATCAGTACTTACTGAAGATAAACAGTTATGTCTAAGTTTCATAAGTGATTGTGTAATTTATTTATTGAACAGGGCTGGTACAGTTTTATTAGTTTGAGTGTGTGGTCATCAGTCATTTATAACAGTAAGTAGATATTTTTTAGTATCAAAATGACGTTCCTGTACAATTAGTCACAGGTAAATAAATATAAAACTATATTGGCACTAGCGTTAATTGATGTGGTTGACAATAAATTAATGAAAGAGTCACAATAGCAATACTAAATATTTTAATTTTCAGGAAAAGTAATTAAAAAAAAACAAATGAATAGCGAATCTGAATAAAAATTAGACCTGACTACATTAATCAAACATATGTTTGTAAATATCACTTTTAATTATTATTAATTTAATTACAATTTATTACCTGTTCAGATATTTCCTCACTTGAAAAAGTTGATCACCATTATGATTATCATCCCCTGAAGTAGTTGTTTTTGCTTTAATATACTGGGCATTAGTTTGTAAACTATTTAAAGCTTCAATGCACGCCTAAAAACAAACTAATTCATTATGTAAATATAAGACGAAAAAACTTACTTCATAATCCTGGCTTTTCGTGAAATGCTGCATAGTTTTTATCGGAAAACTCGAAAAACTCCGATGTCCTAGGCATAAAAAAAAGCGAAAAGACATTTAGTACTAAATTTAATGAGCACGTGTTTACTTTTTAAATTAGAACTGATAACTACATTTGTAAACATACGAGCAAAAAATAAAATTTCCGAGGTGGAACCGATTACTGTTAATTTTTGTTTATCTTATTGACTACCTACTTACGCATTAAGTAAATAAATTGATGATTTTTTTGCTTTGAAAATAAGGTTATGAAACTTGACATGAAACTGACACGTACCAAATAAATCAATGATTATTACTAATAAAAATCACTGCAGCTTATGTCACTCATAATCTTTTGTTTATAAAACTCTCCTTCCTAAAGTCTACAGCACGGTCATTAGAGCAATTATTTATAGGCAGAAAGGATAACCAATCACAGCCTTCGTTCAATCGCTTCCGGGCAATTATGATTGGTTAGATATTCAAACTTGCTATTTTTGAAAAGAGAATTTCAATATTTATTTTTCAATTTAGCAAAAATATTTCAGCAGTACGTGGTACCTTAGTCACCCCTCATTATTGGGTTAATGCTTTAGGAAATGTTTTAAACTGCCATTTTTCATTTTCCTTTCGTATTCGGCAACAATAATACATTGAAATAAAGTAACCGTACTTGACGTACACCTTGTAAAACTTTTATGACTTAAGCGGCTTAAGCCAATGCATTCTTATAAGTCAAACTGGCTATTGTAAGCTTTATGGACTCGAACCGCAAGGATTATTCTGTCCATTGTTGCCATAATGGAACTGTGATCTGAGTTAAGTTATAAAATAGCCAGTTAGATAGAGTAAGTGAGACGGTCCCTTTGGACATACCTGTGTATGTACATACCAGTGGCGGCTCGTGAAGTTTTCTTCAGAGGAGGCTCAAATTTGAAAAGCACTACTTTTTATATCTTTCATTATCTGAATATTTTTTTTGTCATGCCCACGAAAAGAACACTCGTGCGTTGATAGATAAATAAACTTTTGCATCGATTAGTCTTTTCAAAATTGCCCAATTTTCACCAACTTTCTCGTAATAGTTCTCCCTTTTATGAGCCGAATCTAAATGATTGGCATTGTTTTGTTTACAAGCATTTCTAATTTAATCGAAGAAAATATGTGGTCCTATGATTTTTCATGCCTTTCTATAGCTCGTGACAAATTTTGTAAATTATTTTAGCCTGTTTTACCCCAAACGGAAGATTTATCACTTATAAATAATACACAATTCCAACAGTATAATTTGTTTCTTAAAACCGAAGCCGTAAACTATTTAGTTTTATTATAATTATTTTCATGAAATGCTCTGTTTTATTTCTAATTGTAACTGTCAATACAATTAATGGGAGTGATGGTGTTGGTCTCCCCTTTTGTACCCTTACCTACGTAAAGCCTAAACATCACCATCACTGAACAGGGAGCTCGCGAAACCACCTCAAAGTTTTTCCTACTTACACCCGATTGCGCCAACTAATAAGAAAGAGATAAAGTTATCTGTACGACTTGATCTGAAAAGAGATGAACTGGCCGGAGGCTAGCGGCTTGGAGCGGCAGTCCCATGAACGTTTTAGCCAATGCAATACAGACTGACGATGCGTCAAGGTCTACGGTCTCAATAGCAAGATGCATTCTCGGCGGAGGCTAGCGGCTAACAAGCCTCTGCCGCTGAAACCAAACGCGGAGTGGTGTGAATGTGAATTATGATTGTGAGGGCGTAAATATAAATTTTTGCGACATTTTAACCTGATATATGATGAAAGTAAATGAAATCCAGCAAAATATTCTGAAAAATAACAAATGTCTACAAAAATATAAATTCTTTCATCGAAAAAAATTAGAGGAAGCTCAGCTCAAAAAAACAGAGGAGGCTCAGCCTCCCCTGCCTCCTCTGAGGAGCCGCCACTGGTACATACTATGCGCTATCTCATCTATGACTATGAGTGGATGGGTAAATAAGCCAACACTGTGAACTATCTCAACATTCTCAACAATGTTATAAAGTACTTTAAATACATCATGGATAAAAAATGTTTACTGATTCTGTACAGCAATCATCAGCGACACAAAATAAATGACATAATTTTATTCCCTGATTTTATTAACGTTGCCTGCGCAAACAGTCACCCCCATCCTTCCCCTCGGTTTTTAATCAATTTTTACTTACCGACCGTAAGGAAGTATATGTATGTAATAATCGAGTCCATCGGACGAATTACTACTTTCATATTTTCTGGACGCTTCATGAATACTAGAGTACGAATAAATGGGTGACTGTAGAAAAACAGTATTTTAAAAATACGTTTTTCTGTTTTTATTTTTTATTAAAAAAATTGGTCTAAAGAGTTTAGACAGTACTTCCCTCGCTGTCGGAAACTTGACGACTACATGCCTATTGTGTTTTTTTTTTCTCATTACATTTTTGTAGTGGGAATTTAAAAAAAAATGTGATGACGTCATCAACATTTTTGCAAGGACACGTATATCAGTTGGGATAGATGTAGTGTAATACTAAGAATAAAATTATTGTATTCCCAAATTTTCGGGAAAATGAATTGGGTCGTTTTGAATATTGATTTCTTATAATCAAAAATAACGAAACAATTTACTCAGGTATACGGCGCCGGTGTGTAATATCTAGAGAGCGGATTTCTGTCGGGCTAGGCAAGGCCAAACTCGATACGGCTCGTACGGGATGCGAATTCATTGCGACTGCGGACTACACTTCGTTTATTTGAGATTAGAATAAAGCTGTTTCGTTGCACTCTGCTGCTAATTCCCGTTCTCATTTACTTAGCCGTTTGATTAATAAATCGTTAATTATATTTATGGAATTAGTACCGATTAAACGTGACGTAGCCCGACAAAAATCCGCTGTCTGGTAATATGAAAGGCAACTGAAAATCGTTTATGTATAAACATTCTTAATTTAAGATGACAAGCGTAACAGCATACGTGAGAGTCAAACAGAGAAACTGTAAACAAAACGACCATCGGTTTTATTGCTTCGACTTCCGCTTATTATATAAAACATTGGGTTTTATTTTAATTCTTGACGGTGAAATTCACAATTGGTTGATTATAAACATGTCTATTCCACATTCGCGGAACCAAGTGACGGCATAAAACAAATGCAGGTCTGTAATGTTAAAGTCGATGTAAATAAGCGTGCTACCCTTATGTTTCTACCGAGTTTTTCCTTTAACAAATTTTGTGTCTACCAAATTGGGTTGGTTAGGGTGTAATACTAATAATAAGTGTTGCCTTTAATTCAATCAATAAAATAAATTGACTTCATTAATTTTTTTGAACCACCTCTTAAGAATATCTAAAAAATATGAATGGAATGATATATCACAAGTACAAACTCATCATATTTTTTGCATTTTAGATAGGATTTATTCAGTAAAATTTAAGGGTGACGTCATCAATTTTTTTAGGAGGGATGAACAAATACATTTTGAACAAAAGTTTACCATGCTTATAATAACTTTAAAATATTCCCAAGATTTCAAAGCATTCGGTTTTGTAATTCCTGATTAAATCGATAAAATAAATTCACACCTTCATTAATTTTTTTGAGTCACCCTGCATATGCAAATCCAAAAATATGAATGGAATGATAAATCACAAGTACAGACTCATCATATTTTGTACAATTTAGATACGATTTATTCGGCAAACTTTTGAGCTGACGTCATCAGTTTTTTGTAGAAGATAACCAAATATATTTTGACTAAAAATTTATTATGCTCTTTATAACCTTAAAACATCTGCAAGATTTCAAAGCATTCGGTTTTGTAGTTCCTGATTAAATCAATAAAATAAATTTACGCATTCATTAATTTTTTTGAGTCACCTTGTATATGCAAATCGAAAAAATTTGAATGGAATGATACATCACAAGAAGAGACTCACCATATTTTGTACATTTTAGATAGGATTTATTCAGCAAAATTTTGTGGTGACGTCATAAATTTTTTAGGGGGGACGACCAAATACATTTTGATCAAAAATTTACCATGCTTATGATAATTTTAAAATATCTTCAAGATTTCGAAGCATTCGGTTTTGTAGTTCCTGAGTAAATCAGTAAAATAAATTTACGCTTTCATTTATTTTCTTGAATCACCCTGTATATGCAAATCCAAAAAATATGAATGGAGTGATAGATCACAAGTACAGACTGATCATATTTTGTACACTTTAGATATGATTTATTCGACAAATTTTCGAGCTGACGTCATCAAGTTTTTGGAGGGGATAAGCAAATATATTTTGACTAAACATTTATTATGCTCTTTATAACCTTAAAACATCTGCAAGATGTCAGAGCATTCCGTTTTGTAGTTCCTGATTAAATCAATAAAATATATTTACGCATTCATTAATTTTTTTGAGTCACCCTGTATATGCAAATCCAAAAAATATGAATGTAGTGATAAATTACAAGTACAGACTCATCATATTTTTACAGTTTAGATAGGATTTATTCGGCAAACTTTCGAGCTGACGTCATCAATTTTTTGGAGGGGATAAGCAAATATATTTTGACTAAAAATTTATGATGCTCTTTATAGCCTTAAAACATCTGCAAGATTTCAAAGCATTCGGTTTTGTAGTTTCTGAGTAAATCAGTAAAATAAATTTACGCATTCATTAATTTTTTTGAGTCACCCTGTATATGCAAATCCAAAAAATATGAATGGAGTGATAGATCACAAGTACAGACTCATCATATTTTGTACATTTTAGATATGATTTATTCCACAAACTTTTGAGCTGACGTCATCAAGTTTTTGGAGGGGATAAGCAAATATTTTTTGAGTAAAAATTTATTATGCTCTTTATAGCCTTAAAACATCTGCAACATTTCAAAGCATTCTGGTTAGCAGATTAAAAATTAAATTTCAAAATGTTGTTTTATAATTTTGATTTTTTTTCCAAAAATCTGGACATTTCGGGTGAAAAGTCGATTCAGAGTTGTAAACTACATGTGTAGGACTATGTTGTTTTATACAATTGAAAACACATTTACTATGTACAATTTTGAAGTGACGTCATCGCATTAGTGGTGGAGATGATTAGACAAATTTTGGTTAGCGTTTTACCATCTACATGATATTCTTGATATAAGTACAAAATTTCACAACAATCGGTCGAGTACTTTCGGAGATTATCTGTCTAATAAAAATCCGGGACAACAGACGGACAGACGGACGGACAGACGGACGGACAGACGGACGGACAGACAGACGGAAA